TATGGAGCAACCTCCTGGATTTGTTGCTCAGGGGGAGTTTTCTGGATTGGTATGTCGTCTTCGCAAATCTTTATATGGCCTAAAACAGTCTCCTAGGGCCTGGTTTGGCAAATTTAGCAGCGTTGTTCAACAATTTGGCTAGAAGTGAGGCAGACCACTCAGTCTTTTACCGTCACTCGAATGCTGGATGTATCTATTTGATAGTGTATGTCGATGACATTGTTCTTACAAGTAGTGACCATCATGGCATCTCTCAGATGAAACAACACCTTTGCCACCATTTTCAAACCAAAGATCTTGGCAAACTCAGATATTTCTTGGGTATTGAGGTAGCACAATCTACCGATGGCATTGTTATATCTCAAAGAAAGTATGCATTGGATATTTTGGAGGAAACTGGGTTGATGAATTCAAAGCCTCGTTGACACACCCATGGATCCTAATACCAAACTCTTGCCAAATCGGGGGAGCCAATGTCGGATCCTGAACGAGTATAGAAGATTAGTTGGAAAATTAAATTATCTTACGATTACTCGCCCGACATTTCCTTTGCAGTCGGTGTGGTGAGTCAATTCCTCAATTCTCCTTGTCAAGATCATTGGAATGCAGTCATCCGTATATTGAAGTACATCAAAAAGTCTCCTGGAAAAGGTTTGGTGTATGACTCCCATAATCATACAAGAGTCGTCTGCTATTCGGATGCTGATTGGGCAGGATCTCCCTCTGATAGAAGATCTACATCTGGGTATTGTGTTTCCATTGGTGGTAACTTGATCTCATGGAAAAGTAAGAAACAAAGTGTTGTGGCGAGATCTAGTGCAGAAGCAGAATATAGAGCTATGGCCTCAGCTACCTGTGAACTTATTTGGCTCAAGCAATTGCTTAAAGAGCTACAATTTGGAGATGTCACTCAAATGACACTAGTGTGTGACAATCAGGCTGCTCTCCATATAAGCTCTAATCCTGTCTTTCATGAGAGGACTAAACACATTGAGATTGACTGCCATTTTATTCGAGAAAAGATTATGTCTGGAGACATCAAGACTGAGTTCGTTAACTCATGTGATCAATTAGCAGATATTTTCACTAAGTCTTTACGGGGACCTAGGATGGATTATCTTTGTACCAAGCTAGGCACATACGATTTGTATGCTCCAGCTTGAGGGGGAGTGTTAGATATGATTAGATATTAGTTGATATTATTTGATATTATTGAGATATTGTTAGATATTGTTAATCACAATATCAAATAATATCTTTTATTTACCCTATTTGTATTCTGTTACTCTTTTGAGGAGTACCTTTCTTTATTATAAATACACTGCCCTATGTGTGGTAAATACACAAGGGAAATTAACCCTATACAGTTTTTCCCTATATTCAACACTAACCATTGGTCCGACCTTGTGGATGCTAGACATGATGGAGGATTGAGTTGGAAAATTAGAGGAAAGGTGTGTTGTTAGACATAATAGGGACAACAAGGAATGGGAAAACCCTTTACATGTGTATGCTAGAAGAAAAAATAGAAAAGGGTTAAAATTGTAATTAGTAGATATTCCTGATAGGTTGTTTTTTTTTTTTGAGTGTATGAGGACAAAATAAATAAGTCCTTTGCTGTATGTAAAAGGGCATTTTTAGATAGATAGAAAAAAGAAGTCATTACTGTGTATTGCTAATGTGAAAAGGAGAGAGCTCCTTGGGGGTAATTTTTTTACCTTGTTGCTATTGTACTTTCAGAAGGTTAGTGAAATAATATTGAGGTATTATTCAATATCTTAGTTATTGCTATTAGAAGGTGTGGGTGAGTGAGTCAAGAATTTCACATTTATTGTGTATAGGTAGTACGGGGTTTCCTAAGAGTAATAACAAGTGACACAATGGGCCCAACAAATCTTATGAGTATAGTCTTAGATGCCATATTAGATCCAAATGAATGCTACAAAACCAGCTTGTAAGGTGAGGGTTACAACTCACTTATATACTACAATTCAATCATATTTGTAGTTCATGTAAGATTTCCAACACAATCCCTCACATAGAGAATTAGACATCTCACTAGCGTGAGTTTGATATTCGTGGGTGGTCTGATATTGGGTGGTACAATAGGCCCAATAAACCCTTTTAGGCTAAGCTCTAATATCATTTTAAAATGTGGATACAGGCCCAATTTAACCCTACAAAATAGACTTATAAGATGAGGTTTGCACCTCAATTATATACTATAATTTAGCCATCTCTATCGTTGATGTGAAATTTCCAACACATCCCCTCACATTAAGGATATTGATGGTTCGATAATGTGTGACACTATAGGCCTATACCTAATAAAGATAGACTCTAGTCAATGATTTGGACCTAATTCAACCTTTGAAAATCGTTTAGTTAGGTAAAGTTTACATCTCACATATTCTATATCTTTGCCATATGGTTAATGTGGAATTTCCAACAAAAGCAAAAGGATATTGGGTGACTTTATGTTGTGAATACAACACTTACATAAGCCATACCCTTCACCAAACAGTTTTAGCTTTTAGGCAAATTGGTTGTTGACATAATATTGGAGTCTCTATGATTCAATAGTCAAAAGTTTTATCCTTGCCATCCTCATTCTAAGTTAAAGATAGCTACATTTAGCATGTGGTAAAAATGTTGTTGTGCATTATTCTGTAGTCCAAAGTTTTAGACATGTATCATGCAATAAAGACATTGACATGCTTTCACTGTCCTCCTGGAGATATCAGAAGTGTTGGTCCTTGAGGTGTATATATCCTTGTCATGTCTTTATTCGATCATATTTTGTTATGTTGTACATGGAATTGTCTTGAAAACTATATTTGTGAATATTAAAATGCAATGCAATAAAAAATTCAAAGTTTGGGAACATAAACATGATGACGAGACAAAGACCATTTAGTCATACTATGAAAGATAATGAAGAGAAAACCTTAAGGGATGAAAAGGTAAATTTTGTATCTGAAAAGCTAAGATAAGACTCAAAGATAAGCAAATTGTGATGAATTGAGTCTGTTAGACAAATGACATCTAGATGGGGATGAATAGATGCACAAATTAAAATAGATGTCAAATTAAAAATTTATTTTAAGATGTCCAATAATTTATTAATTCAATTTTAATTATAAGATAAAATATAGATAAAGCGGAAGCGATATAATCAGATAGATAAAGGGAAAGATTCAAGCGTGGAGATGCAGGATGCGGTGCTGTTAAAGAGAAAAAGGCAAGAGAAGAGCACACAGTAATTTATACTGGTTCAGGTTTAGTCAATCCTACATCCAGTTCCCAGTCAATTCTAATCACAAGAGTGACTCCCAATTCACTATCTTTAAAATTCAGTTTATAAATTACATTCAATTCAGCAGAGGAACCAGTAAAAAGTAACCTAATGAAAAAGACAATCACCTCCTTAGAAACCCACTAAGGATGAACACCTTCCTAGAATCCCACTAGGGATGAATACCTCCTTTGAACAAATCAAAGGATAAAAAACACCTCCTTTGCCACCAACACACAAAGGATAAACACCTCCCTAGAATCACACTAGGGATGAACACTTCCCTGAACAAATTAAAGGGATGAACAATTTTCACACAGGAAACCCTAAAATAACACAATTGATTACTTAAACCTCCTAAACCCACAAAGGATGAAAGAGTAAGATAAGAACAGTCATCTACAAATGGTGAAGGTAATAAAAATAAGAACAATCACACTTGGGTAATGGAGACAACAAATTGTAGAAATCTGTAGAATGATAACCTCCAAGAACACAGTGTGATTAACTATGAAAACGCAGAAGACAATGGAGAAGAGGGTTTTGGTAAAATATCTGTGGCAATGGAGAAGAGGGTTTTCTCAAAACATGTTAAAAATCTTTGTTGCCTTGCTCAAAATTCTTTTCTCAAAACTGATTGAATGTAAATTGTATTTTCGAATTCTGTAATTGTGTGTTTTTTATTTTCCATCAAAACTTAATTAAATAGAAAAATAATATCAGAAAATAGCCCGTTGGTCATTAATACTTTCGTAGAGAAAAAAATCAGGATATATTCAAAAACATTTATTCTTCAAAACAGATATTTTTCAAATATGAACTGTCATAATCAATTATTTTACCAGTATAATCAATTATGACAAAATCATTTTTCTATTTCTGATGCATCATAATTGATTATGACAGTGAAAAATGTCATGTTATGAAATTTTATCACACTTGTGCTTTGGAAGCTTATGCATAATATTATTTCATTAGCTTGTACTTCCATATCCAGTATTCTAAGTCTCTATCTAGTCTTCAGTAATCACCTTGGCTTACTTGAATCTTGAATGTTGTTGACTTGAATCATCATCAAAATCAACTCTTGGGAATGTAGAAACATGTTTCATATTGCCATCAATCTCCCCCTCATTGCTTTCAGAGTCACCATTTGATCCAATGAAGATAAGACTGTAAGAAAAGAGAAGTCTAGCTCTTTGAAGTACACTAAAATTAACTCTATTGAATCAATTAATCAAGTTGAAATAGAAGGATGGTGCTCGGAGGTTTAGGAAGGAATGAGATTTGAATTTTGAAATTCAAATCCCTTACAATGTGGGGCATAATGTGGATCTGTCCATGGAACCTGCTGCATAGTGTGGATCTGACATGTATTAGTTTCTTCTTACATTTTACATGTGTTAAATGTTATAAGCATGTACTCCCCATGTTCTTGCTTCCACTTGGCCATGTAATGCCCTTTCATTTGGGCTTGAAGAAACTAAACTAGGACTATGAAGCCCTATCTCAAACCAACCTAGAAGAGAAGTACAAAGAAACAACATCTGTAGAAATATAAAATAAGAAAATGTGATGTTGACTGAAGTCTTGAGCTTTTGTCATGCTTCTAGTAATTCTCTTAGAAGAAGTGTCCATGTAATGATGGCCCTCTCATATCTTGGTCAGGTGGTAGGAGGAGTTGCATATAACTAAGAAGAGAACGATGGATATGTTTTGCAGTGTGATTGTGTTTGCTGAGGAGAGAAGGCTGGAATTGGGATATGTAGGGTTTAAGCATCTTTTGACGGGTGGAGGATTTCAACTTTGTTCTCCCCCAAAAACCGTTATTCAACAGTGCTTACAGCCCAGCCACTGCAGAACTTTGTTCTCCCCACTTGCCTTACCACTCCTTGCTAATGCCACAACCACTTTTACTTACTGCTTGCCACCGTCATTTATATTATCATTCATTAGGTTATTTGGTATGCTTCAAAAGCTGGATAGAATATGAGGTTACTTGACACGTGTGATCCTATCATTTCTGATTTTGATCCTCCTAACTATTATATCTTAAGAATCAAACACAGTGTGAACCAGATTGTTACTTGCATTTATGTTGCACTGGATTTATTATTGTTCTTCTTGTTCGATGTCATCTTCTGATTTGTTTCTTGCCAAACATAATTTTTTTCACGCTCCTTATCTGTTCCCTGAATAGAGATATGCTTCCTGATAAACTCTGCAAATCTAAAACTCTTTCTATGCTTTTATCAGATAGTTATATTCTTTTGCTGTACTCTGATGAATTTTTGTTTTTGCCATAAATAAATAACTTGTGCATTGCAGATAAGGCACCTTTTCTTACCTGATGTTGAACCCGGTCATTTCCTCCAATATTGCTGTCCATGGCTACTTCCTGCCCTTCTTATCAATCAAAACAGTTCTGATCTCGATTGGGTTGCCTCGGTATGAGCAGTTTCTTGTAGTGCTGATATATTTGATATTGTTAATAAAGGTTCTATCCTTTAGAAAATAAAGAAAATGGTATTGCCATGGTATTTGATTATTTGCACTGTCTCAGTCATTGCCATGGGTTTTTTAGTACTTCTAAGAGAGAAAAATAAGAAGGAAAAACAAAATAAGCTATTTCAAAAACTCAAATTAGCTTATGAATGAATTAATAATCAGGTTTTGCTGAAGCTAATATGAAATAACTTCTAGATATTAGCTTATACTTGAGCTAATTTTAGTTGATCGTTAAACTAATTTCATTTTTTCTTAATTTTCTCTCCTAGAAGTACGTATGGAGAAGTTTCTCCAAACAGACAGTATGTTTTGTTTATTTTGGATCTAACAAAATTCCATTATGCAGGTTACTTGTCAACCTTTGACAGTTCTTATAAAAAACCACTTCACTTCGATATTTTCAGTTTCCATGGCTTTGCATTGCAGTAAGAAACCAACATCAGAGAAGGGAACTGTAGTGCTTCAGAGTTCCATTTTGCATTTTGCTCAGATATCAGAGAAAGAACGGGACAAGCTCATAAAAAGGCATATGGTATGCTAGACTGTACTGTAAGATCTTTGTTATAAAGAAAATAAACATTCTGTGTGTTTGGTTACGAGCTATTGAAAGAACGAAAGAAAGAAAGATATATTGATACAAAGGAAAAGTACAATCTGCAGTGAATATTGTAATTCTCTGATACAAACCTATATATATTAACTAGAGAATAACAAGCAGTTAAGGGAAATATCTCTGACAAAAAGATTTTAATCGACAACAGAGTGAGATATTTGTAACACCACCCTCACATGCTCAAGGTGGGGGATATACATTATGTAGATTAATCACTACAAGCTTGGATATAAGAAAAAGAAATCTTATACTAGATAGGTTTGGTGAGAAATCTTATACTATCAAGATTTTCTTTATCCTAGAAACCCATTTGCATCCTATGGCAATTTTGTTAGAAGGCAGAAGGACAGTCTAAGTTTCATTGCCTTGTGAAACAAGTTCTTTTTTCATAGTACAGAACCATTATGTATCATTAAGAGATTGTTTGGTGGGTTTTAGGTTCAACATTTGCAGCAAGAAGATTGTGATGAATACATGTTCGGTCAATATGAGTGTTATTAAACAACAGTCATGGCATGGCCATGGTGGAAATCAGAAGCGGAATATTTTCCTTTCGTCCCAACAGAGTGGTGGCAAAGCGGGTTTTGCATGGCAGCTCATAGTGGCCACTTTTGCTGTCGTGGAATGGTGTCATGAAGTTGTCATGGCAAAAATCTCGCTCTTGTAGCCGCACAAATTGCATTGATAGGTGGAAGATGTGTTGGATTTATGTGACTCGACCTGATCTGGGACTAACCTAGGGTTTCTTCTTTTAATATGATGTTTTGTTGTTTTTGTGGGTTTTCTTTTGTGTTTATAAGAGATCCAACCCACTAGTTGGAGAGAAAAAGGAAAAAAAGTTAGGTTACTAGTCCAACCTAAACCTGATAGCTAGAAAAAAAAAAAACCTAGCATACATCTCTTGCACTTCTCCGTCACTGCAGACCTGAATCATTGCCACTGCCATTATCATTGCCGCTGCCATTGTTGCTGTTGCTGTCATCATCATTGCTGCCATTGTTGCTATTGCTGTAGTCATCGTTGCTGCCATTTTCGCTACTGCTACGGCCAAGAGTCTCTTTATATAAAATAAAGGGTTGCAACTGTTATAGAAATAGTAATAGAATAACTAAAGTCTTAATAACTAATAATAAGTTACACTTTTCACATGATGAAACTCAAGAAATTTGTTAAGAAGAAATAAATTTGCTAACACTAATTAAATTTTTAGTAATGGAAGAAACATGTAGTTGATTGGTAAGAATAAAACACATGTTAGATTTTGTGTGGAAGAAAGTAAAGAACCAAAGGACAAATTGATAAACTTTGTCCATTACCAACAAAAATCTGGTCAAGACCTTCAATGTCAAGGGTGGATACAACCAAGAACGCAACGAAGAAACAATTGCACTAGAAAGAGACAATTGTATCAATGCTAGCAACACCTGATCTTGTTTTTCCCAAACTAGATAATCTGGATTCAGGTGATCAAGAACACGATCTTGATCATAAAGAAAACGGAAATGAATTTTTGGAGCTACTACAAAATGATGCAGCCTATGTGCTTTGACAAGCGGTTGGACTTGTTGATGCCATAGCAAGAATGTGACCAGAGTTTGTGTAAATGCTGAAATGAAGGAACCATTGTCAATTGCAGTAGTGTAAGTTTGCTAGGGTGTCACCTATGTCATTGAAGGTGGTGTAGGTAGAGTTGCTATTGATCATAAGGCTCTTGATATTATTGAAAGAAAGAAAGATATATTGATACAAAAGAAAAAGTGCAATTTGCGGTTTATTTAATTTTCTGTGTTAGATGTATGTTCCTAATGATAGTTTTTGTTTTTTTTTTTTGTTTATGAAGAGATAACCCAATGTGCTTAATATACATTAGGGTTTCAACTTGTCTGCTTTATTTCAACATTGTATCTAGAGTTAGGTTTAATCACTACCTTCCTGGGGAATCCATTGTTCATCTGTGTTAAATATTATTTTCTATATTTTTTTCCCTCGTTGTGCTTTCTTAGTCACCACCATCCCTACCATTGTCGTTTGAATCGGTGATACAACTGTCGCACTTGTCTCGACCAGATGACCACCACACCAAAAAAATCTCAACGATTAGAACTTTGATGCACTTGCACGTGTTGCTCTAGTCTTTGTCGCCACCGCCACTTCCTGTTGACACGGCAGCGCGTCCATAGTCTTCTCTGGCATCAATATTAGACTCAACTCCCTTCCTCTTTTTAGATATGCAACTTTCATTGTGATCTTGGCTCGTTGTAACTTTTTTTATGTTTTTAGGGTTGTTTCTCTCTCTTAGTGATTATTTTCTCTCTTTGCAATTATCTATGACTTCTTCTACTGTTACAACATCTGATCTGTCCATCTATACCAATTATTTCAATGTGCATCTATTCATTGACATATTAGATGGCATTGTTGATCATCTTAATAAAAGTGTGGTTGCTATTGTTGAATATGAGCATTCTTGTTGGTTGAAAATTGATGCTCAATTATGCATTGTACTCAAGTCTATTAGTGTAGAAGCGAAATATAGATTTATGACCTCAATTACTTAAGAACTTATTTGGCTTCAAAAATTACTTAAAGAATCACAATTTGGAAAGGTCAGTCAAATGAGACTTATATGTGACAATCAAGTAACTCTTCATATTAGTTCTAATTCCATTTTTCATAAAAGGACCAAACATATTGAGATTGTTTGTCATTTTATTCAGGAAAATACTTTATCTTGACAAAATCAAGACTTAGTTTGTTAATTCTAATGAATAATTGGAAGATGTATTTGCCAAATCATTACGGGGACTGAAAATTGATTATATTTGTAACAAGTTTGGTGTATATGATTTATATGCATTAGCTTTAAGGGGGAGTGTTAGATATAATGATTTGTATGCATAATTGATGTACTTTCCTAATCTTTGTGTTTTTTCTTATTTATGAAGAGATAACGCTACATGCTTAGTACACATTAGGGATTCACCTTATACCTCTTTTATTTCAACACTCTCTTACAAATCTATATATACTATACAAAAAATTGCAAACAGTTACAACATAAAATAGAAATATCTCTAACACGAGTTGGCTACAGTTGAATCTATGTCCAGTTTGAAGTTCCTCTCAATAGCTTTCTGACATGAAAACTGGGCTGTGTAGTGGCCCAAATACACTATGGACAACATTGTCCTACCTTTGGTATAACATTTAAAGGAAGATATTTTTGTGATCATTATTTATTGCAAGTCATCAAATGATGGAAAAGTGTCTTCTCCTTTACAATTCTAACTATAAAACTTTTATACAAATGCACTAGTTTTGTAATCTTAAGATCAAAATAATTTTTACCGGAATATTTTGTAGTTATAAGTTTTTCAGGAATAGTTTCTTCTAATAATAATTATTTTTTGCTATTTTCCATGACAACTGCGGGCCCTTAATTTTGTTGTTCTATTTGGAAAGTATTGCAATTTCGATACCAGCTGTTGATTGTTGTGTTGGTGTGTCAACCTAGTTGGAATACCTTTTTCCAAAGTGATGCTTATTCCATATGATTTTATTATATATAAAAAAAAAAAAGATACCAGCTGTTAACATTTGCTATATAGTATGTATTTGTTTAACAATACATTTTTTCACTAGTTAATATTATATGCTGGTACTTTGTATTTTTAGGTGTCTATTGTCAGCTGTGTTTTATCTTTGTGCTCTTGTTCGTCAAACGCCATAGCCCCTTCTTTTTCAAGGGATACAGTGTCTCTTGAAATTCAAACAATAGTTGATGGATTTTTGAACTTGTAAGTTATCTTTTTTTCCATGGTGTTTATCTTTGGTGCTAATTGGAGTTTGTTCTTGAAATGAAATATGTGATTATTTTGAAATGTAGGGATGATAATCATGCAAGTGATTCTGTTGTTGACAAGATCAATATTTTTCGCCCAGATAGAGTTTTCATGGTAATATTTTGACATAAAACTTGACAACACCATATAGTTATCCTTTTCCTTGTACATCATGTTATTTCTATTCCATGCTGTTTCTAATAAAATTAAATATTTTGTAATTTGAAGTTTTTGGTAGAAATTCATTATAAAATTACAGCAGCAGCTCATTACAGGCATAAGTGCCATCGACTGGCCGGAATTGAGGTGCTTATGCATATTCTTGGTCAGAGAGCTGCCGTTTTATGCACTTCTAAGTAAGTTCTATGGACTTAAATTTATGTATGACTTTTAAATTACATTGAACTCGTCAATTTTAGTGTGTGTATCTGTATGGTGTTGATGGGTTTGATTTTTGGACTGGGTATTGATCATACACTTTCCTTACATGTCGAGTAAATGCAGTTACCTTTTCAACTTGATTGGGTCATTGATTGAATGTTGTGCTTTACAAGACCAATGTTGTCGGATACTCTCTACATTGTTGCTACATCTCAAAAGGAATTTATCTAAAGACGTGACAAGTATGCTTGGAGAACAGCTCCAGGTACATTCTTTTTCAGTTTTACACTGTTTTCAACTATTTTGATTCCCTATTTAAACTTATGTTTAGTACAATGTGTTCTATCCAGTTTCTTGTTTCGAAGTTGGTGGCATGTTGCATTCCTTCTAAAACCAAGGAATCGAGTGATAGCACTGCATCACAAGCTTTATCTCTGCTCCATATGTTAACTGTGGATTCTGATTCATCTTTGTATGATTATGTTAAAGTGAGCATTTGATATTCATCTTGTATCTGTTTTATTAAGGGTCTGGTCTTGTTACAGTTTGAAGTTATTCAAAAATATTTTCTTACAGGAATTGGAGCCATTCCCTGAATTGAAAATATTCGATGAAATAAGGAAGTTCCATGAAGAATTATGCCACACTTATTCAGTACGTGACCATTTATTGAAGGTAAATAATTATCATTCATTGCATTTTATGGCTGTACAACCTCATGTTGCAAGATAATTTTCTCTTGTTATCTGGTACATTGTTATTTTCAGTTTGTTAAGAAGTCTAGCTACCTTCCACCAAGGTTGCTTTCATCAAGGTGACTTCCTTTTCGAACAGTCTTTCCTATGTTATTATCTACCTAGTTTTCAATGATTATGGCTTACATTTGCTTCGTTCTTTTTTAATATAACTAGAAACAAAGTATTGGTTTCATTGAAGTATTCATGTCTTAGTATGTACTTTATGTGCATAAGTTTGTCTAGCAAGGGAGAAACTTTTTTGCCAAGTATTTTGAATATATTGGTTGGAATATTAAATGAACAGTAATATAACTTGCAATTTAATTTTTGAGATTTTAAACTGCTTTAAATTTTCTGTGATGCTTCATTCCTGAATCAGTGTTTTCTCAGTCTCCAGGCATTGCACAAGAAATTACTAAATGTAGAATGCTTCCAAAGAGGAGGGAAAGCAAAAGGTTTTTTAAAAGACAGATATTGGCACGGTGATCATGAAATTGTGCATGCAGTCTGGAAACTTGTTCACATGTGTGGTTCTAATAATGGAAGTGAAGTTCGTGGATTGGTTTCAGATTTCATTTCTAGGGTATTGATTTTGTTTATTAGTTTTCTTATTTTCCCTACTTATAGGCAGTCACACACTCTCGCAGTTTTAAAAATTTGGTTCCTTCATTGTTGTTGTGCTGGTGCAGGTTGGTACTGGAGACCCATACTCTGTTGTTTTCCATCTTCCTGGCGAGACTAGTCAGTTTCGTCTTGGAAAATCTATTGATACCAGCAGTGCAAAAGAAATCAGTTCTGACTTGGATGCATGCTTAACTGAAGAACTTTTGGTTGTCCTTATGAAAATTCTAATGAAATATCTGATGGATGATTCTGTGACAATTGTTGATATGGCATCACAAACACTTCTTGTAAGTCTTCCAACTGGCAATCGTCTATTGAATAAACTCAATAATTTTTATTGAGACCTTTCTTTATTATATTCTTGCATTGGTTCTATGGATAGCTGTATTTTTTCTTTTGGTAATATGTTTGTGAACTTCCTGTATGATTTAGTCCTTATTTTAAGAACTAGTGGTGTATTGAAACTTACTCATTTTATTGGTCTAAGAATAAAAGTTAATATATCATACATATAAAAATGGACTAAGGTAGTTAATATGGTTACCTTTTTTCATTGCTTCTTATGTAAATAATTGCATCAGTGGGTTGGATTTGTAGGGAATACTTTCAACTAAAAGAGGCCAAAATGCTTTACAGTCATTTGATTCATATCAGAGGTCTTTGATTGAGGTAATATTTGAATATGGGAAGCAAAGAGGCCAAAATGCTTTACAGTCATTTGAGGAATTTTTAATATTATTTTCATGTTTTATTTTCTAGCTTTACATTAGTTGAAATTTTTTATGTTCTTGTGCTGGTGACCAAATTGGAATATGGGAGTGCGTTGGATATTTTGAGCTAGTTTGAATTATCTTTAGAATTTGAATTCTTGCTTTCAATATGACACATTAACGGTGTGACAAGAGAAGAAATTCACAAATTTAATAAGCTAAGAATATTCAAATGGTTTATCCTAAAAAGTTTCGTATATTTCACCCTTGTTTTGACTTGATTATCTTTTGTTATGGATGAATGTATACATTTTACAAAAATTATGTTTCGTAGATACTATGGATACTATTCATCCCGTCATTTCTTAAAAATTTTGCTTAAATGCATTAAGAATACTTGAGAAAATAAAGAGAGGGAAAATAAGCTTAGAGAGCTTAAAAATGTCTCTTCAGCTAATAAATTTTGCTTAAATGCATTATAAATTTTGTCTTAGTCTGAGATACAAGGAAAGAGAGAAATTAGTAGAAAATAAGCCAAGATACCGCTAGGACTCTAGGTACAAATAGAAGGAATAATATTCTACTTCATTGTATCAATTAGGGGGTGATTATTAAATTATAATTTTTTTGTTACATAATTTCAAATTTAGAAGGAATAATATTCTACTTCATTGTATCAATTATGAGGTCATTAGACCTATAAATACATGAGCTTGCATGTTATTTTAGGGAATATGGATAAGTAGTTCTAAGGAGACAAATCCTTAGGATTATGGGATTGTTTCTGTTAGAATTATTAATTATTAACCTAAGAGTTGTACCAATGTTTCTAGCTCAGACTTTAGTCTCATGATTTTCTATCTACTCATTGTATTTGTTTTTTAACATTCTAAATAAGATATCATGTTAGAGGTGTGATTAAGCCCTCTAAAAATATAGTATCCCTTTTATTTAATTCTAAGTTGGTATCAGAGCGGGTTAATCCCGCTCTGTTAGTCTATAACCATCTTCGGTGAGGAATCCATTGTCACCACTGCTATTCGCCGCTTTCGCATCTTGTCGGCCACCACCTAGTTTTCTTTGGTAACCACCATATCTGAATTGCCTCTCAGAGCGACAACCAACCATGTCGGTCTCAAGCGGAGCTTCACAACCATGCACACATAAGGTCCACGCGTCACTCTTCTCATAGAATCCCCTTAGCATGTCTTCGTTAACTCTTGTTGGACCTTCCTACCATTGTTCTGATCATTGGGTCCCTCTTTCTAGCTTGCTTAAAGATTTTCTTTTCTAGGTTTTCCTTAGTTAAACCTAAAGTTGTCACATTGATATTACCAAAATGTCCTTTATATATGTTTTATCCTTCTCAAGAACTCCTTCAATTACCTCTGAAATGTTAAATGGAAAAAATTATCTCTGTTGGTCTGTCTCAGTTGAACTATAGTTCCTTGGCTAAGGTCTCCTTGATCACCTTGAACAAGAGGGGAGTAGGATACCAGCTAATAAAGCTAAAAAATGGAAACAAATTGATTTTCAGCTCTGTGTCTTATTGTGGCAATCTATGGAACCAAAGCTATTGGGAATTCTTAGAGTGTTTAAAACATGCAATTCTTTTAGGAAAAAAACTCAACATATTTTCGCAAATAATATTTAGTGCTTCTATGATTCTACCAATAGGCTTGCCTCTCTTAAACAATCGGACCATGATATGATGTCTTTCATGAGTGAAACTCAATTTGGTGTTGAAGAACTAAAGATATTCTTGGAGGATGAATCTTTAGAAGAAACTAGAAAGAAATTGGATAAATTCTATATGGTTATGATCCAATATATCCAAACTTTAAAATTGTTAGAGATCAACTTTTAACAAGTCATAAAGTTCTATCCATGGAAAGTTTAACTACAAGAGTTATTCAGGTTTCCACAAGTGTAATCAAGAAACTCTAAGCTTCTACCATGATTTCTACATGTGGTAGAGGAGGACATAATGCTAGAGGAGGAAGGAGTGGTCAAGGACACCCTCATTGTGTGCACTGTAAGAAGATGCACTGTAAGAAGATGACTCACGTATAAGAGAACTTTCGCATTGCATGACTTTCCTAATAAAATAGTCAATATCACTAATTTTGAAGTTGTTGAGTGTAAGTTCTCTGATGAAGAGTATCAGAAATATTTGAGGTCGAAATCCAATAACTTGGCACAATCATCAAGTTTCAATCCATCAACAGTTTGCATTTCACAATTCGTGGAAAGTCACAGTTTGCATTTCTAATCACATTTCTAGTGATGTATCCTTGTTCTCATTCCTTTTCTTTCCCCCTCATTTCATAACCCTAGGCACGGGTTCTAAAGCTCCTTCCAAGGGATGAGTCAATTTTCCTTTCATCTTCTTTAAATTTAAAATTTGTTAAGTTTGTTCTTTCTTGTCCTTTCAATCTTATTTCATTAAGCCAATTAATCAAGTCTTTAAATTGTTTAATAACCTTTGATGCCAATACTATTTTGGAGTTAGCCCACCTAGATCCTATTTTGCTTCTCAAAACCCCAAACTTTTACATGATCGTTTGGGGCATACCAACTTGTCAAAACTAAAAAATTTGTTCCTAAACTTTGTAGTCTTCAAACATGAAAATGTGAGTCGTGTCAATAAGGCAAACATGTTAGATCATCTTTTCTAAAAAAAATTGAATTAATATGTAATTATGCTCTTTCTATTTTTCATTCTGATATATAGGGGTCTAGTTGTTGGGTAATTCAAGTGTGAGTCTAAGTCCCACATTGAGTAAGAATGAAAAAGTTGAGCAATATATAAGGAAGTATGATCCATAACTCGATGTCTTAAGATTTTGGGTTGAGAGTGGTGTTAATTCTTATGTGTGGGTTAGACTTATGTTTCATTGGTGTTATTTCTCCCCGGTGAATCCTCCTTAAAAGACCCAACACTAGTGGTGTCTCATCTTTTGGCTTTAGATACTTTATAACATTTAATGATGAATATTCCAAAAGTACGTGGACTTCTCTCGTGAAAGACCGTTTATAATTATTGCCTATCTTTACGACCTTTGTGAATGAAATAAAAAATCAATTTGGTCAAGTGATTAAAACCTTAAGAAGTGACAATGCCGAAGAGTATTTCTCTTCTCATTTCTCTGCAGTTTTAAATTTGCATGACATTCTCCACTAGTCCACTTGTCTTCACACCCCTTGACAAAATGGTATTGCTGTACATATCTTATTGCTTGCTGCCAATCTATCGTTCTATCATTGGGATGATGTAGTTATAACTACTTGTTTTCTTTTTAATAGAATGTCATCTTCCTCTCAATAATTTAATTACTTATTCCATTGCTTTTCCCAAATACCCTCTTTTTCATATTTCTCCTTTTGTGTTCGATTGTGTATGTTTTGTTCATGATTTATCTCCAGGAATAGATAAACTCCCTGCTCAGGCTATCAAATGTAATCCACATGGTCATTAGAAAAAGTATTCGTTCTATGTGTAATTCACATCCTATTTATAATTTTCTTAGTTATCATAGATTGTCTGGATTATTATTCTTTTATATCATCGGTATCTTCCATTACTGTTCCCAAAAATGTTAATGAAGCCCTTGATCACCCTAGATGGTGGCAAGTCATGATTGTCAAAATGCAGGTCTTGACCAGAATCATACATGGGACTTGGTACCCTTTCCACCTAGGAAGAAAACAGTGGGATGTCGTTAGGTTTATGCCATTAAAGTTGGCTCAAATGGTGAGGTAGATCGTCTCAAGGTACCTTTAGTTGCTAAAGGATACACACAGATTGATGACCTTGATTATAGTGGTACTTTTTCTCCAATAGCCAGAATAATTACTATTCGTTTATTCTTTGCCACGACAACTATTTGTCATTGGCCATGTTACGAATCAGAAAACTTGACAAACAGTATTATCGAAAAAAAGGCAAAATATGGAAGAAAAACGGGATGATTTTGATAATTTGACCCGAAAACAAGAATAACTATGCATCAAGAGAAATAACCTCCAGAAACCCCAGAGCACTGCTCAGTATTACAAAGAGATATTCTCTCTCCCTACCCGTAAAATCCAAAATCCCCCCGCCCTCACAGAAACAAACCTATTATATAATTAATTATTTTCTCTCCCTTCTAACTAACTTCCACCTCAGCATATCTATTTTCTTCTCCCTTCTCTTGTAAACCAACCACGTCTTGGGCTTGTTGGCAACTTCATGGATCAATAATTCTTCTGGCCCATTAATTTTCTCCTGATCCCCATCATTGCCACTCTCTTGAAAATTGATCTTGTCCTCAAGATGGAGATGAGGGAACTGATTTTTTTATCATAATGGCATCCTCCCATGTAGCTTCCTCGGCTGGCTTTGCTGCCTATTGCACCAACACTTGCTTCACTATCTCTCCGTGTTTTACGACTTCACTTTTGGCTAAAATGGAAGTAGGATTCCACAACTCTGCATCCTCTTCTCCTAACTCAGTAGGTAGTTCTGGTTGAGTCTGGTAGTTGCCAATTGCTTTCTTCAGCAATGATACGTGAAAAACTGGGTGTATTCTTGAAGTAGATGGTAAGTTCAAACGATAAGCCACCTCACCAACTCTGCTCAACACCTCAAAAGGACCGTAGTACCTTGCTGCAAGTTTGGTATTAACCCTGGGAGAAACCGAATTCTGTCTATGAGGGCGTAATTTCAGAAAAACCCATTCACCTACTTCAAATTTCCTCTCTTGTCTTTTGAGGTCTGCTTGGTTCTTCATTATGACTTGAGCCCTTGTAAGATGCTCCTTTAGTTGCCTTAAAATTTCATCTCTATCCTTCAACTCTTGTTGAACTACTTCTACCCTTATTTCTCCTTGGATCCCCCTTACTAAAGATGGAGGTTTCCTCCCATACACTGCCTCGAAAGGAGTCATTTGAGTGGACTCATGGTAGGATGTATTATACCAGTACTCAGCCCACGGGAGCCAAAACACCCACTTGTTTGGGTTGATCGGTGATAAAACACCTCAAATATGTCTCTAAGCTCCTATTCACCACCTCCGTTTGACCATCCGATTGTGGATGATAAGCGGTACTCATGTTAAGGGTTGTGCCTTGTAGTTTGAAAAACTCTTTCCAAAATTGACTTATGAAAATGGGGTCTCGTCGTCGACTATGGAATTTGGGATCCCATGCAACCTCACTATTTCTTTCACAAATGTTTCAGCCAACATTACGGTCGTGTAGGGATGCTTAAGTGCAACAAAGTGGACATACTTTGTTAGCCTATCTACCACTACCAGAATTGCTTCATATCCCTTAGATTTAGGCAGACCCGTAATGAAGTCTAAAGATATATCTTCCCAAACCTTTTCTGGAATTGACAAAGGTTGTAGCAACCCTCCTGGTGTAGTTGCTAAATATTTTTGCCTTTGGCAAGTGTCACACGCTCTCACATAATGCTGCACCATCCTTTTCATCCCCTTCCAGTATATGTTAGCCGCCAACCGCCTATAGGTTCTGAAATAGCCAGAATGACCCCCTTGAGGAGTCACATGGAATTCTTCCAAGATTTTTGGAATCCAATCAGAGTTGGCCGCCACCACCAATCTGTTTTCAAATAATAGAACTCCGTGTTGGTAAGTAAAACCCGCAGGAACCTCTTCACCTTTCTTGATCTTTTCAATAATTTCCCTTAATTTTGCATCCTCATGCACTTCAGCCACACTGGCTTGACTATCCATCCACACCGGAAGGTACATAAGACTCCTTAATTCACCACTTTCCATCTGTCTTGATAAAGCATCAGCCCCTTTATTGTCCGCCCCAGGCTTGTAAATAATATCAAAGTTATAACTCAACAATTTAGCTATCCAATTCTGCTGGTTACTAGAGATAACTTTCTGTTGAAGGAGCTGTTTAAGACTCTTATGATCTGTCAAAACTGAGAAATGTCTCCCAATAAGGTAATGTCTCCAATGGTTCACTGCAAGAGCTACGACCATCAATTCTTTCTCATATGTGGACTTGTTCAAATTCTGAGTACTAAGAGCCTTACTAAAGAATGCCATTGGATGCTTGTCTTGCATCATTATTGCCCTTACTCCCAACCCGGAAGCATCACACTCCACCACAAATTCCTTGTCGAAATTCGGCAATACTAGCACCGGAGCTGTAGTTAACCTTTTCTTCAATGTGTCAAAAGCTGTTTGAGCCTCATCTCCCCATTTAAAGGCATCCTTCTTAGTCAATTCTGTCAAGGGTCGAACTATTTTACCATAATCACGAACAAACTTCCTGTAATAGCCTTTCAAACCAAGGAAACCTCTTACCCCTTTTACATTCTTGGGGATTGGCCAATTAATTACACTCCTCACTTTCTCAGGGTCTACCGCTACTCCCTCTTCTGATATGATATGTCCCAAATACTCCACTTGCCTCCTTGCCAAGAAACACTTCTTTTCATTGGCAAATAAAACTTGCTCTTGCAAAATTTGGAATACCTCCTCTAAGTGTTGCATATGCTCTTTCCAACTCTTAGAAAAGATTAAAATGTCGTCAAAAAAAACCATACTGATTTCCTCAACTTACCTCGAATATATCATTCATTAGACCTTGAAACGTCGAAGGAGCATTCATTAGCCCGAAGGGCATCACGAGGTACTCATAGTGACCCTCATGTGTCCTAAAGGAAGTCTTCTCTATGTCTTCTTCTCTCATCCTAACTTGATGATAACCAGATTTTAAATCCAGTTTTGAGAAGAACTTTGCTCCATGCAACTCATCCAACAGCTCCTCAATAACGGGAATTGGAAATTTATCCGGAATGGTCACCTTGTTCAACACCCTGTAGTCTACACACATCCTCCACGACTTGTCTTTTTTTCTTACCAGAATCACCGGACTAGAAAATGAACTGCTTCTCTTTTGAATAACCCCATTATCCCATAATTTCTTGACTTGACGTTCAATCTCGTCTTTTTGATGATGTGCATATCTATAAGGACGCACGTTGATTGGGCCTTGACCAGGATATAAGGTAATGCTATGTACTTTGGTTCTATTAGGGGGCAAACCCTGCGGTTCTTGAAAAACATTTAAATCGATTCAATAAGCCTTGTAAGTCCTGTTTCTGCATCTGGTCCAACACTGTCACCAGCTCGCTTTCACTTTCCCCAACTTCTGCCCCTATCTTTTTAGTAGAAATCATCCCTACTAGCAAGTTAAGGATTCCTTGTTTTTTATTGTGCTGCGTGGTTCCTTTTAATTCAACTCATTCACCGTTATGCACAAAACGAAGAGACTGAAATTTCCAATCAATAATCATCTCCCCCAAGGAAGCCAGCCATGAAATTCCTAACACAACGTCAATATCTTCAAGATCGAACAAATAGGCGTCTAATACAAACGTCCGGTGGCCCAATTTAATATGAAGTTCTCGACACTTTCCACGCGTAATTGATTTATGGCCATCCCCCATCAAGATCTTCAAGTCTTTCGTCTCTTCTATCGACCATCCCATTGCCTCCACTAAACTTCTAGAGATAAAGGTGTGAGTGGCTCCGCTATCCACCAAAACACATACAGGAATGTCATGAATTTCCCCCTCAAGCTTCAATGTTTTCGGTTGCGACATGTCCTCACCTTGGTGCCACAGATTACGCAAGTGAAGAATAGAACATTCTCCATCAATTTGGTCCGTATCGGCCAAAATCACGTACTCAGAATCAGACTGATCATCTTCCATATCTCTTTCATCAGTCAGCATTAACTTCAATTGTTTTTCTGGACAAATGTGTTGAGGTGAATAGGTTCCACCACACTTAAAACAGAGGCTACGTTGCCTTCTATCCATAAGCTTATTATATGACATTTGTCTCACCCCACGATCTCTTAGTCCACCACCATTTCTTCCTTGCACCACCTCACTTGAATTGGACCCCGACCCATTAGTTCCACCTGTGAAAACCTGACCCCTAGCCCCTTTCTCAATTTTTGTTTGATTTCTGAATACCACACTTGAATTGGGCCTTGCAGACCAATGCGACCCACGTGGATCCATCCTTCCTGGTGAAAAGACCAATCTGCCCTTACTCCTAAGTTCCACCTCTACTGTTCGTGTGACGTTAAGTAAACGTGAATGAGTCAGAGTCCCCATAGCTTGCATGCTCCTCACACGATCACGAATATCTTCCTTCAATCCACGTGTAAAGAATGAAAAATACTGTTTGTCTGAACTTCGGGGAATCTGTGCCATTAGAAACTCAAAATTCTGGATATATTGATCAACGTCATGGGTCTGCTCCAACGCCATAAGTTGATCGTATGCATTCCCTTTTCCCAAACCTCCATAACGATCCAATAATGCTTCCTTCAACTGTTCCCAGGAGATATTTTCCCTTTCGTTGAGCAACAAATTGAAAAAATGTATTGTCCCTCCTTCCATACACAATTGCGCCAGACGCACGCATACTGAATCTCTTGTATTTTGAATATGGAAATAAATTTCTGCACGTGATATCCACCCGGCGGGGTCCTCGCCGTTGAACGACGGAAGTTCGACCTTCTTTACGGATTGCCTAAATTCGTCCAAGGTATCGCCCTGGAATTTGGGGTCTCCATCACTCTCATTCCCTTCCCAAATGCCTTTTCCATCCTCCTTTTCGCCTTCGGGTTCGTCATTGGATGAATGAACTCCCTCACCATGGTTCTCCCGCATCTCTGCCCTCCTTTTCTCTAGATCTTTTGCAAAGCCACTAAGGCTTTGAACAATAAACTCCATCATCTTCTTCTGATTTTCCTCCATCATCAATCGTAAACCGGAAAGTTCCTTTTCCACCGTTTCCAAACGAGAATCCACCGTTTCATTAGACATCGGTGCTGCGTTCGTTGGTTTCTTGTTTCTTGGCATTCACGGAAGTGTTTGCATCCGGCAGGTCGGACCAATTTGTTACGAATCAGAAAACTTGACAAATAGTATTATCGGAAAAAAGGCAAAATATGGAAGAAAAACGGGATGATTTTGATAATTTGACCAGAAAACAAGAATAACTATGCATCAAGAGAAATAACCTCCAGATACCCCAGAGCACTGTTCAGTATTACAAAGAGATATTCTCTCTCCCTACCCGTAAAATCCAAAATCCCCCCTGCCCTCACAGAAACAAACCTATTATATAATTAATTATTTTCTCTCCCTTCTAACTAACTTCCACCTCAGCATATCTATTTTCTTCTCCCTTCTCTTGTAAACCAACCACGTCTTGGGCTTGCTGGCAGCTTCATGGATCAATAATTCTTCTGGCCCATTAATTTTCTCCTGATCCCCATCAGGCCACTTCATTATTTAGTTATCAAAAATGCATTTATTCATGGCGATCTTGAAGATGAGTTCTATATGGAGTAACCTCTTGGATTTGTTGCTCAGGGGGAGTCAGACTTGATTTGTAAGTTACGTTGCTCTCTCTATGGTCTTAGACAATCTTCACGAGCTTGGTTTTGAAATTTAATCACATTGTGCAAATTTTTGGGTTGAAATGAAGTGAAGCAAATCATTCAGTCTTTCACTTTCATACTTCTACTAATAAATGTGTTTACTTAATAATATATGTTGATGATATAGTTATTACAAGGAGTGATGTTGTTAGAATATATCAACTAAAGGAACACTTGTTCAAGCATTTTCAAACCAAAGATCTTTGAAGTCTCAAATACTTATGGGTATTGAAGTAGCTCAATCAAGAGAAGGTGTTGTAATATCTCAAAGGAAATATGCAATAGATATTCTAAAAGAGATAGTTTGGATTGACTGTAGACCAATAGATAATCCTATGGATTCAAATAAAAAACTAATGACGGAACAAAGTGAACCATTCTCTGATCCAGAAAGATATAGAAGACTGGTTGGAAAACTTATTTGTCTTACCATTTCTAGACCTGATTTGTTTTTCGTAATTTGTGTTGATAGTCAATTCATGTAGGTTTCTTGTATTGATCATTGGAATGTCATCATCCACATCTTGAGGTATCTAAAAAAGGCTCTAAGACGAGCTTTGTTATATGAAGATAGAGACAACATTCAAATATTTGGGTATTGCAATGTTGATTGAGTTGGTTCCCCTTCTGACAGATACTTTGTACATGATATTGTGTTTTCCTTGGAGTAAATATTTTTTCCTGGAAAAGTAAGAAAAAATATGTTGTAGCCCAAAACTGAATATAGGCCAATGACATCTCTTAATTGTGAACTTGTATGGGTGGAACAATTCCTTCTATTGCTTAAATTTTATGAGATCCAGACCAAGAAAATGTATTGTGATAATGAAGTTGCACTTTATATTGTCTCTAATCTAGTATTTCATGAGAGAACGAAATACATTGAGATTGACTATCATTATGTTTAGGAAAAATTGGTGACTAAGGAAATTTGTATTGAGTTTACTGGATTTAATGACCAACTTGCATATGTGTTAACGAAATCATTAAGAGGTCTTTGGATTGAATTTATTTGTTTCAAGCTTGGTATATACAATCTATATGCTCTAGCTTGACGGGAAGTGTTGGAATTATTAATTATTAACCTAAGAGTTGTATGTATCTTCGTACGTATGTTTCTAGCTCAAACTTTAGTCCCTTGACTTTCGATCTTCTAATTGTATATGTTCTTATTATTATAAATAAGGTATCATGTTAGAGGTGTGATAAGCCCTCTAAAAATATATTTTCTCTTCTATTTAATTTTAAGTGTTTTTAAATACATAAACCTAATATTAATTAGCAAGATATGACTGGAATAAAGAATAAAATAATTGTAAGGATAAATATATAAAATTTGTCTTCTATTTGATTTTATTTTTATTAATAATGTTTAAAATTGTGTATATTAAAAGAAATATGATGTTAATGTTTAATGAAATACATAATTAAATAACAAATTATGTTAAATGACCAAATCTTTTTCCCAATTCATGTGCTTGGCGTGATGATCAATGCCCTTTTGTTTACATAATCTAATAAAAAAAAGTGATGGGGTACCAAAACGTTGAGTGGCCAACAAACTTCTTCATTGACTTACTGATAACCAATAAACCTTTAAAAATAGATGCTCAAGTACTGTAGTGACACACTGCTTTGGTTATATGTTTGCTGTTGTAAACTAAATGCTGAGAAGAATTGCAAGCATGTGCCTCACTATTTATCTTGGAACTATTTTTTCTTGTTATAAATTTTATTGTTTTCTAATGCAGGTGCATTCCAAAGGTGTCAATAATGAACTTGTGGAAAATCTCCTTTTAGACCTGGATAGGAAATCAAAAGGTATACTGGTTGGTGACATCCATGTTCTTGTGAATGCCAGTAAACTGATCTGATAAGAGTTAATATTCTGGGCCATTAAGCTAAATAGTTTAGATAGACATTGTGCTAGGATTAAATTCTATTTATATTTTCCTTTCCATAGATTTTTTTTTTTTTTTCCAACCTAGTTATTCTAGCAATAACTTTAACTGATGGAAGATAGTTTGCCATGTCATTGACAGTATGAGGTTAAGTCTTCCAGATTTAGTTCTTTTTTCAAGCCTATGTAGATGATTTTCAAACATTGCTTCTTATCAATAGTAGGGGAAAGCCACGGATTTGTCTACAAGGTGAATTCTCTGGAGAAATCTATCACTTAAACAAAAGTGTTTGGGTTCAGATTAAAGGTGGCAGCAGTAAATGCTTTTCCTTCTCCCCAGACAAGTGTAATGGACAGTGATCTAGTTTGTGGATTTCAATTACGAATATATTCTTTGTTTTGTAGTTTTAGGGGGCTTGATCTTATACTTGGCCCGGAATGGTTGGAGACATTAAGTGAAATGCGGTTGTATTGGAGGATGACAATGGGCTTTGAGAAAGATGGTAATTGGCTGTGCAATAACATTTAGAGAGGGTGCCAGATGAACTAAAAACTAACAATTCATAAATATGTCAAAGTTTTAACATCATTAATCCTATATTGATTAGAACATTGGGAAAATCATATGACAAAAACTAGTTCTTGTAGCTGGAAAACACAAGGCCCCTATAAACCCACAATAGCATTGCATGCCTCAAATGTCAGATTCGAGTCCTGTACCTTGCAATTAGATCCTAAGCTCCCACCATGCTTCAAAGCCCTGCACCCACACAGGCTGGCTGAGCTCTCGAATCCCATCAATTCATATACCTTGTAAAGTTGTAATTAGATCCTAGTGTCCCCACCATGCTTCATAGTCATGTCACCCACACTTGCTGTAGCCTTTGTAACAGAGAGACTTGATGGGAAACTTTGATAAAAATTGATAATGACTCTGGGATAATTACACCACAACACCGTTATTGTAGTTGCAGAGCCCAAGACCCTTATAAACCTCAATAGAATCTCATGCTTTCAATGTGGGGTTCAGTCCCATATCTTGCTATTGGATGCTTGACTAGATGTTCTCATAGTGTAGTCTAAGTAGCAATTTAGAAAATTTACATTTGAGAAGAAGCTTAGATATTCGTATTTTGAAACCATAATCAGAGATGACACTTCCATTGGTACCTGAAATTTCTTTCTTAGAATGAATTCATACTAAAACTTATAAGTGACATTTAGTCAGTGAACTTTCTCTCATTCTGACCTCAAAATATATAATTCAGACTTTTTCCGTTTTTATTGTCATCAGCCCTTTCTATGTACGAAAGATACTTGCTATTTTTGTGATAGTCTTTAAATTTTTTCAGCTGAAGCAATTTCATTGGAGAAGTCCACTGTGTGGGTGACAGATGGTAAAACTTTTGAAATGTGGATTTGCCCATTGGTGTACTCACTTCTTGTTTTCTGCAGTGATGTGATACTAAGGTATTTGAACCTATCTAACTACTTAAATGTTGACAAATAAATGGTGATTATCTGTTAGCATTATCAATTACCAGACTTTTGTCAGGTTTTCATTTTCTCTTCCTTTTTCACCTCTCATTTTTCTAGCCTATTGTAATTCCAGACTGTGTCAAGATATTATATTGTTTAAAGGGGAAGTTGCTGAGTTTCTTTTGCCAAGTATTTTCGTCAATATCACTGCAAGGAAGGATCTGGATATCGATCTTCACAGATTGATCTGTCTGCAGGTTATATTCTAAGGATGGACTGCCCCTCTTTCTTATTTTTAGAGGGCTTATTTAGTCATTTAATATTATATTCAAAATGATAATATGACGTTGATTATACTACCACCTGCATCCTTGGATTAAAGTTAATAAGCATTTTATTGAACTTGCTTTGAATATATGTATTTTCTACAAAAAGTTCAGGTACATTTTGTTTTCTGCAAGTAAATATGATGTGCTGTTGAATTTTGCAGTTGAAGGAGCATATATTTACAGAGTCAAATAAGTTGATGAAGTCAATTCAAGTGGTTTTGAATTGTCTTAATGAACTTCGTATGCGTCATGTCATGGAAAGATCTTCATTTGTGCCCTCAAAGCGTGAAGTTTCTAAGGTGAATATAATTTAATTGTCTTATTGTTAAGGTCCAAATAGCAAATTACTTGGAAGAAAAAGATTGATAATCGTGAATTGATTGTTAAAAATCAAGATTAAGGTTATCAAACTCGAGAGTTTATGTAGACTCGTGGGAGGTCTGTAAACTCGACTCGTAGACTCGTAAGAGTCTACTTCATATAAAAAAATACTAATTTAACAATGATAATATCAATTCCACATTACTAAAATAAATAAGTTCATACAATAATATACTGAAAATAAAAATAAAAAATAAGTTTCAAACTTTTTTAATTTCAATATTTATATTAAAATAACCAAAAAATCAAATTGATTCTGTCCAGCAAAATAATCAGATTAAAAAAATAATTTTTTTTTCTAAATCCCTAAAATCTCTCAATCTATTTGAAAGCCCTAAAATCTCAAATCTCTCAATCCCTCAATCTAACCTACGAGAGGGATGGCTGGTGGCTAACCTGCAAGAGCGCTAGCGAGAAGGGTGGTCAAAGAGCAGCGGTCGGGGGTGAGACACGCGACCACCAAGAGAGACGCGCGATGCAACTACCGCGTAACAATAGGGAATAGATGGGCGACCAAAGGGAAGAGACCAAGGAAGTACCGTGACGCAATTATTGGCGACGACAACCAACAATGAACAATAAGAAAGGAAGAGGAATGCGAGATTTGAACCTGTAAAAAGAAATGAGGAGTGCAGGAGAAGATTTAAGTGTCTCTTCCCTTTCAAACTCGGTGACTCGCTTCTGACTCGCAAGTTTACTCAGAGTCCATTGAGTTTGACCTCGAGTCTACTCTAAAACGAGTCTACTCATGAGTTAGCTCGCCATTGGTCACATGACGCGTTAACTCGTCCGAGTTAGCGAGTTGACTCGCGAGTTTGATAACCATGATCAAGTGAAACTGAAAGATTTTACTCTCACAATTTATTAAGAGAGTTGTACCCTAACATCACTAAATATTCAAAACTGGTTTTCAAAGAGAGTTGTCCCCTATCTATAGATAATGGGTGTGGATCCATGGAGGAAAAAAGTGGGACTTGAATGTATCCTTGGTCATGAATCTCATAGGGCTTGTTGTGCATTCCTCTTCCAATTTTGTCAGCCTCATGGAAGATAATGATGGAGCCCAAAGTAAAACCCAAAGACGAAAGCCCAAGCCCAAAGTATACAAGCCTACCCAAAAGATGAAAAATACTAAATAATGAAATGTGTTGGTAGTGACCCATTCATGCATTAAACAATTATTTTCTTTAATATATCTTGACCTGTTTGTTTGCAATTTCAAAACACTTGAAATTGGAAATTATGAGCTTTAAGTGAGAAACATGCTTGAGGGAAAGAATATTTCAAGATGTGATTAATAAAAGGAATATAAAAATCTTCATTTTCAATTATATGTTGAAGAAATACAATCATGACCAAAGGAAAAAATATAGTTCAATGTCCCAAATATATTTTGAAAATAATTTTGATCGGAAGACCAAAGTTATATAACCTAAAATATACGAACAACTTAATGGTGACCCTACATGGTCATTATCTAACTTTAGGAAATTAAAATATAAACTAAATAATTTTATTATATTCTAAGACTATCTTATAAGGATGGAGGTGTTGGCATAAAATTTTTATTTACACTCAATAAAGCTTGTGTTGTGTAAGGTTGAAGTAGGCATAAAACTACTTGCTAAGATGGTAGTGAAATTGATGGTTCGTCTTGGTGAACTTCTTCGATGAGTGGGTGATTGATCTTAGGTGTGTGGGTCTTTATATCAATAGCTTTCTTGACAATGATTATCAGAAAGCATATTCCGTTGTGTTAAAAGACAATACAAATAAAGGTTAGCATTGAGGTATTTGCGATTAAGACTTTCTTCCTCTCAAGTGGGAGCATACTAATGTGGTGGGACTCATATTGGAGTTCAAGTGAGTTTGGAGTGCTGCATTGTGTGGAAATGGGAAAGTTGAGCAACATATAATTAGAAAGGCGCACAAACCTTGTCTTATAGTTTTAGGTTGAAGGTAAGGTGATATCATGTTCTCTTATTTAGTTAAGTTTTAGCTTATTGGTAAATATCTCCCTGTTGTTTCTCCCTTTTGTTTGCAGATCCTATCTGAGTGAGGTTTGTTGGACCAATCATGCTACTCGCAATTAGGTCATTATCGGACCACCCCTAAATATTTAGTCCCATGCCTGAGATGTCCAATCATTGGCATGAAAGAGTGTATAAGGGATTCTACATCGACTAGAGATATAACCAAATTATAATATAGAATGGGTGCAAACCTCACTATTCACACCTGTTTTGTGAGTTGAGTTAGGTTTAATATCCATTTTTTAACATTATCTTTGGTAAGAGCCATGATACTATTACCAAAAGTTGGTCATTTGTCGATTGTAAAATTTTCTCCATCAATAATCCTATGTTTTGCATGTTTCATTCCCTTTTCAATCGTGGGTAGGATATTGATTTCCAAAAGTAGTTGATGCCATGGTTGTTCAATTTGCAATTGTAGTAGTGGATGTTACAACAACATACTATTCTTTTAATCAAAAAGCCATTAAAACTAACAAATCTTGCTTCATATTGAAACAAAGGGACACACTAGTTCAAATTCACTAAAAATCAAATGGCATTAATTGAAATTCCCTAATAAATTTATAGAAGGTGCAGCCTAGCAATGAAGTGGGCGATGTGGGCTTATCTGCAACACAAACATATATATATATATATATATATATATATATATATATATCAATAAATCATCCTTATTTTCCCTTTTTTTTTTTGTTTAATCACTGTTGAACTTTTTGTTATGACATATTGATGTTTTCTATATTGCTCTTATTCTTGCTCTCTTGTATGCCAAAGTTGTCAATATCAATAAATCATCCTTGATTTAATTCATAAAGAAAAGATTTATTACACTTGTATTTCTAATGTAGTAAATGCTTTCTTTGCTGAAAAATCTTGCCACTTTTAGGTTCTTAAAATCATCCCCAAGGGCTAGTGTTAACAAAACCTTATTTTATTTTGTTAATTTACAGAATTCAAGGCCTTCAAGTTATAGTTCTAAAACCCGGTCCACTCCTGCAAAGGCAAGAGAATCTGCAGTTGTTTCAAATGCCTTCGCAATGTCACCATCATCATGGGAGAAAGTATTATCTTTTTTGCTTATGTACCTTCATACCATCAATTATTGTCTAAATAATTAATCTATAGAATGCAAAAGTTAACAGATTTTATTTTTTATTTTATTTTTCCGTTTTATCTTTGAAGGTTTATTGGATCTCCATCGACTATCTTCTTATTGCCAAGTTTGCAGCTGTAAGTGTCATCTCTTGATTCCAATTTATCATCCTTTATTTTCTTTTTCTCTTCGTCTGTTTATTTTTGTGTAAATTTTTATTACATGTGCTTCTTTTTCTATTATAGAGTTGTGGGTCATATTTTACTTCAGTTATGTATGTGGAACATTGGTGTGAAGAGAAATTTAAAACATTAACATTTGGAGGTCCAGATTTCTCCCATAATGAAATGGTAAGTTGTACTGAATTTTCTTATATTTGAAGCATGATATTTTTCTGTATTTTGACTATATATCATGTTACACTATTTTAAATTTTTTTTTTTTTTTACTTTTAACCTGTTCCTTGCCAGATGTATAAATTTGTAAACTGTTTATGGAGATTGCTTAGGTTCATAATCATGTATTCTAATTTGCATTTTTTTTCCTGGCTTCGTATCAGTTGCCAGATCATATTGAAATTCTTGTTTCGGCAGTCACTAGAATCAACGAACCTGATAGCTTATATGGAATTCTTCAGTCTCACAAGGTTAGAGAGCCTGAGCTTTGCTTCTCGTAGCTTTATCACTTAACTGAATGATAGGCAATTGTCTCAGATTGTCAGCTCAGTAACCAAATTATATACATCGGCCCTAGGAACTAACTGACAGCCCTAATAGTGACTAATACAGAAATTATTTCTTTAATAGTCATCTTTATATAAAATTCAATTTTCATGTATTTGCTTATTTTAAAAAAAAAATTATATTAATACATGTATAGAAGATCTTTAAAAAACTCCTGTGCCTTTTCCTGGTACCATGTTTGTATCCATGCAATACATGCCATCCATGTTTTTTTTCACTAGTTACATTTTATTTCTTTCCCTTTGCATTTCTTATTTCATTTTACTTTAATGATAGTTGACTTCTCAAATAATCACATTTGAGCATGAGGGAAACTGGGGGAAGGCCCTGGAGTATTATGACTTGCAAGTGCAGTCAGATAACACAGTACAGAAAGATGGCAGTTCTAGAAGTCTGCCGTTGAAACAAACAGGATCAGCACATCCTTCATCTTTTGCATCAGAGGCAAATGAGATGAGGCAGAGTAGACCTTACAAAGGGTTGATTAGATCATTGCAGCAGATTGGCTGCACACACGTGCTTGACATGTATTGCCGAGGCTTGACATCAAGCAAGGATCAGCATCAGCATGATTTGGAGTTTACTGAGTTGCAATTTGAATCTGCCTGGCGCGCTGGGAAATGGGATTTCTCTTTACCATGTGTAGGAACTAATTTATCTTTGACTTCAAATATCAAATGTGATCATTTCAATGAAAATTTGCACAGGTAATATGTTTTTACTTTTGTTGTGTTAATTTTAATTTGAACTCTTCGTTCAATTGTTCTATTATCTACTTTAAGTCGCTATTTTCAAGCAATACATGTTCATAACAATTGCCTCATTCATGTAGTCTAAAAGAGATTCAAAAAATGTACTTTGTAATTTGAGAGAGAATGGAAACTAAGTTTTTTCTCATTACGGGAAAATGAATTATCCAATCAGTTACAAAACTAGAAAACTATATATATAAAGTTGTTAATACTCCGACTTGGTAGCTAACTAACCAAACTGAAAAGAAAAGAGTTCAGTCCACTTATGGAGTAAGACTATTTTAAGGACTCGTTTATTAGCAAGGATATCAACAGGATATAATTTTCTTATCTAATTGCCTATCTTACCTTGTTAGTGTTGTGTATTTCTTATGTTGAGCTGGAAATTGAGTTAGAAGGAAACATGATTGGATAGTCCATCCTCTTACTCTCACACATCTCACCTCCAGTATAATTGATATTACCATAACAACCCTTTCCATCACAATCCCATTTTCTCGATCATCACTCCTATCATTATTGCTACCAGTATCACTCTCATCGCCTTTATTGTTGTTGCCACCACTCCCATACACATCACCTCCACTATTACGTTATTTCACCCGTACCAACTACAACCTCATAGTCAGCATCATAGTATGCACTACGATCACCCCATAGTTGCTATAGCACCCACCATTACTTTACCATTATTATCAAAAAAATTTCACTACTTCCACCATTGTTATCATCATCATTGTTGTTATTATTATCACCTTCTCATCTTCACTATACCAACTACCATTATATCATCACTATCAAGGTACCACTTTTGTTGTCATCATTGTTACACTACCGTCATTGTCACAACAACCACAACTAGTTTCACCAAAGTTGTTACCATTTTGACTATCATCATCACCACCACCACCATTTTCTCATTATTATTATTATTAGAGTTGTCCTAAAATGAATGGCTCGACTTGACATGTTAGACCAACTTGACCCATGTTCCAAACAAATTGTGATTTTTAGACCTAACCCTTTGTCTAGCTAATTGGCCATTTTGGCCTACTATAAAGAATAAAAAAATAATTCAAATCTAATAAATAAATAAAATGTTTCGACGCAAGAGTGATTGATCAAGGAGCTATTATGCACTCTTTCAAGTGTGATTGTTTCTGGGCAAATCTCCTAGTTGTCTCCACACTTCTACCATAATATTATTGAGTGGTCATTTAGTGGCCTTAATTGGTGATCCAAGTTGTTTCCCTCTCAACAATGAAGTTCATCCCCCATCTCGCATTCGCCAGCCAACCTTGACCCTTGTTATTTTGAGGCCATATCAAATGTTTAGTGTTGGCTCGATTTGGTACTGCTGTTACATCATTAAAATTAATTTTTTTTTTAGATATTTTTACTTGATATATAAATTATAATAAATGTATATGTTTTATGAATAATATTTCGAGAAATAGATTAACTGAAATATAATTTTTATTATATCAATACAAAGAGATGATATAAGATATATACAAGAGACCTAAATTATTTTAGGAGATATAATAACTCTATTTTATGCTAGGATCCCTTGATTTATGGGATTGTTCCTAATTATTCAAATCAGTACAGATTACAAGGAAATATACAAATTTCCTTATTTATTCTTTCCTAAAATACTATTTGATTTCTCACACTTCCCCTCAAGCCGGTGAATAGATGTTTTCCATTCCCAGCCTTGGATACAATCTTCTCAAAATTATGGCAGCCCAGTCCCTTGGTAAGAATGTCCGCAATTTGGTCTTGAGAGGACACATATGGAGTGCATATCAAGCCACTATCAAGCTTTTCTTTGATGAAGTGTCTCGTCTACTTCAATATGCTTTGTTCTATCATGCTGCACTCGGGTTGTGGGCTATACTGATTGCTGACTTATTATCACAATAGAGCTTCATAGGTTCTTCCCACTTTATCCTCAAGTCTTCTAAGATGATTTTAAGCCATAGCAACTCACATATACCTTGTGCCATGGCTCGGAATTCTGCTTCAACGACTGGACCGAGCCACTACACCCTGCTTTTGCTTCTCCAAGTCACAAGATTTCCTCCAAGAAAGGTGCAATATCCTGTAGTTGACCTCCTATCCACAATTGACCCCGCATAATCAGCATCGAGTATAGGCTTCAAGCTTCACATTACCATTCCTTTTGAATAGAATCCCTCTTCCTGGAGTTCCTTTAAGGTACCTGTAAAATTCCGTGGGCAGCTTGTAAATGGGTCTCCTTTGGGCTATGCATAAATTGGCTAATTAAACTCACCGCATAGGCAATATCTCGGCCTGGTATGTGACAAATATATAAGTCTGCCCACTAATCTTTGGTACATATCTTTTTCAACAGCGAACATCTTCTTCTGCATTTCCAAGCTTTAGGTTTGGTTCTAATGGGGTACTAGCAGGTTTGCAAGCTGCCTTGCCTGTTTCCTTGAGCAAATCAGTGATGTATTTCTGCTGAAATATAAATATCCCTTTCTCGGAGTGGGCAACTTCAATTCCCAAAAAATATTTTAGTTTTCTCAAAGTCTTGATCTCAAATTCCTTGCCTAAGCATTGACTCAATAATTGTTGCTCTTCTTTATTATCTCCAGTTAATATTATGTCATCCACATACACCAATAATATTGTTACTCCCCCGACTTGGAATGTTTAAAAAACAAAGTATGGTCCCCTTGGCTTTGTTTGTAACCCAGCACTGTCATAACTTTAGTAAACCTGCCAAACCATGCACGGGGACCTGTTTTAACCCATATAATGCCTTTTTCAACTTGCAAAAAGTGTTGGCAGCAACATCTTTACCATATCCCGGAGGTATCTCCATATAGATTTCTTCTTCAAGGTCTCCATGTAGGAAAGCATTCTTAACATCAAATTGTTCCAAGTTCCAACCATAATTGGCAGCAAGGGACAATATCACCCTAACTATGTTCATTTTGGCAACCGGAGCAAAGGTCTCCAAATAATCAACTCCATAGGTTTGGGTGAACCCTTTGGCAACTAGTCTTGCCTTATATCTCTCAATTGATCCATCAGCCTTGTATTTCACTGTATAGACCCATTTACATCCAACTGGCCTCTTTCTTATTGGTAAGGTGACTAACTCCCAAGTGTTGTTCTTCTCCAATGCCTCCATTTCTTCATCCATGGCTTGCCTCCATTTTCTGTCAGACAATGCCTCAGATAGGGTATTAGGTAGAAGTACAGTGTTTAGGTTTACTAGGAAGGTTTTATGGATAGGAGAGAAATTTTTAAAGGACAGGTAATTTGAGAGAGGGTAGAGTGGCTATTTGGTGCATTTTCTTGTTCCTTTTCTAATGGCAATTGGGAGGTCAGGATCATTTTGGGTTTCAATTTCAACCTGCACAGCTGGAGAAAAAATTGTTACCTCTTTTTGTGGAGTCGAGTTGGATTCTTGAACATGGCTTGATCCTGGAATGGCCTTAGTCTTCCTTGAGTACACCAGCTTCTTACCAAATTTTCCAGTTTCAACATCTTCTTGATCAGCTTCACAATTAATTTCACTTTCTTGACCAACTTCCTTTGCTTGACCAATTCCTTGACTTGTTTCATTTGTTACAACTTCAATTTGATCTTCAATTTGATCTTGTTTAGGTTCAAATGTCAAGTCTGGAAGAATGGGAAAACCAGAATCACTACTTTCCTTATCTTCCCTGAAACTCTCCCCTTGAAGATAAGGTTGATGGAAATAGCCCTCTTGTTCATTGAAGGTAACATCCCTAGACACAGAATTTTTTGGATGGGGGGTGGTAGCATTTATACCCTTTTTGAGTGGGTGAGTAACCAACAAAGATACACTTTAAGGCTCTAGGATCAAGTTTTCCCCTGTCTGTACTATGAATATGGACATATGAGATGCACCCAAAAACTCTTGGTTTAAGATTATTTGTAGTAGACAAGTTTGGATAGAAAGACGACAAAACTTCCATAGGGCTTTTTGATCCTAAGACTCTAGAGGGTAGTCTATTGATAAGGTATGTTGCTCGTAAGGACAGCTTCCCCGTAAATTTTTTGGGACACTTTTTTGGAACAACAATGCCCGAGTCTGATTTAATAGATGTCCATTTTTCCTCTCTCGCGACCCCATTCTCGTTGTGGTGTTTTGACACAAGAGGACTCATGAATTATACCTTCTTTTTGACAAAAAGAATTAAGGACATGATTGAAGTAATCTTTGGCATTATCCGACCTAAGCCTCTTAATATTAACACAAACCGATTTTTTATCATGGAGTGGAAGTTTAGGAAGACAGAACTGACCTCTGATTTTTGTTTAAGTAGGAAAACCCAAGTGACCCTTGTACAGTCATCTATAAAGGTGACAAACCATCGAGTACCGCACACATTTGGAATATTAGAAGGTCCCCATACATCAGTATGAACAAGATAAAAAGGGAAATTGCTAATTCTATTACTTATTGGAAAAGATATACGTTTGTGCTTAGCAAGTTCACACACCTCACAATGAAGACTCTCAACGTCTAACTTGGTAAACAGAGAGGGAAATATAATTTTGATCACTCCAAAAGAGGGATGTCCCAACCGACAATGATAAAGCATGATTTTTTCTCTCGTTGGTCATCAAGGATTCGGATATGAAGGAGTGAGAGATTCTATTCTTGTCGGCGTAGACTTGGATCTTCGAGATAATAAAGGCCATTCCATTCTCTAGCATGTCCAATCATCCTCCCCGAATCCTTATCCCGAAATACACAATGATCGTTGGAAAAAACAACTTTACATGACAAATCCTTTATAAGCTTTTGTATAGACACTAGGTTCGTGGACAACTTTGGGACATGGAGAACGTCTTTTAAGGTTATTAAAGGATTGATTTGGATATTTCCTTGACCAGCTAGCAGTTATAAGGGTTCCATCTCGTCGTGGCAATTTTCTTGTTGTCGGGACATGGGGAATATGTGGAGAAGTGTTTGGCTAATGGTGTCATGTGATCTGTGGCTCCAGAGTCCAATATCCAATAATGGTTAAAAGGCGTATCTCGAGACATTTAATCCAAAAGAAGGTGGAAACTTACCCGAGTATGCCAAAGAACACATACCCGTAGGTTTTTCCAGCTTACTAAGAACGATTTTCACCCTTTCTATCTCCTCTTCCCTTGACATTTTAGTAAAAAGGTGCGATGCAATAACAATGCAGGCTTAGGATTAAGAAAAATGCAGCAGCAATGTAGGCTGTCGTCTTAGGATTAAGAAAAATGCAGCAGCAATGTAGGCTGCCGTCTTAGGGTTAAGAAAAATGCAGCAGCAATGCAGGCTGCCGTCTTAGGGTTACAAAATATGCAGCAGCAATGCAGGCTGCCGTCTTAGGGTTTATCGAGCGCAGACAGAGCTTCCTAGATCGGAAGCTCTGATACCATCTGAGAAATAGATTAACTGAAATATAATTTTTATTATATCAATACAAAGAGATGATATAAGATATATACAAGAGACCTAAACTATTTTAGGAGATATAATAACTCTATTTTATGCTAGGATCCCTTGATTTATGGGATTGTTCCTAATTATTCAAATCTGTACAGATTACAAGGAAATATACAAATTTCCTTATTTATTCTTTCCTAAAATACTATTTGATTTCTCACAATATTAATTTAAAAATGGGTTGCCCATAAGTTTACATGTTGACTCTAGTTAAATGCACCAAGCTAGTGGTTCATTTTAGCCCATGATTTTGCTATGCTCAACTCATTTTTAGATCTCTTTTAGCTAACCCATCAAGCCAGACCCATTTTTCACTTATGATTATTATCATCGTCGTCACTACACCATCACTATCATCACCACCACAACTTATATTATCCAGTCCTTATCATGGTGCAGCAAACATTGGATGAGATGTGATTTGATTTCATTAAATGTGGAGATATGATACTATTTGATAAGGAAATATATTACCAAATATTTTCCATAATTAGATATTGTTTTGTTACTTATTGTTGAACTCTTCATCATAAATAAGAATACTTATGTGTGTACACAATTGATAGCTTTGGAATTGTGTATAAAAGGATAAGTAACAGAATGTGACAATTATAATCTCCCGAAGATTTTTCAATGTATTTGATTATTATATATAGTCAAGGTTTTGTTGGGAAGAGGGCAATTAGTTTTTTCTAAGAGGGAAAGGAGTTGTGGGAGAGTGAGGTCCTCTCGAAAGATCCTCAATTGTTGTATCTTGTGTTGTTATCTACCACATCGGCAGAAACATTTTTCTTAATAATAAAGTCATTCAAGAATTTGTCTTGAAAGTTTTTGTAATTACAAGTTGTTCTATCAACAACACACAAAATTCATTATATGCTTTCTAGATTTCTTTCTTCTCGACATGGTACTTGAGCAGTACCACCCTCTTTGACATGTTTTTGTTGATCCTTGAATTAATGGTTATCTTCCTTTTATTCTATAATTTTTTAATCTTATCCTATCCTTATATCATATCATATATTTTTTTCTTATATTTGGAACTTGTTGATCAATTCAGTGCGGTTCTTCTAGTCTCCTAAGAATAAAAGTCAATTTATACCACAAAAAAAAAATCATGAAAAGTGAATTTAATTATTCTTATATTCAGTTGTTTAAGGGCACTTAATGAGGGTGATCGGAGTGATTTCGACAGAAAACTAAGAGATACGAAGCAGGTAATGTTTCTTTCCTACTTATGTTGATGCACTTGAAGACTTTATGCATATAAAAATATTTTTATGTTCTAGGATCTTGTGTTATCTGTTTCTCATGCAAGTGAAGAGAGCACTGAGTACATTTACTTGACTATCATCAAGCTCCAGGTATCCACTTGTCCAATATGTAGACCCTCAACATGATATCTATTGCCACTACATATTTCATAATATTGCTTGGAGTATGGCTAAAGTAGTCCTTATAGGGCCTAATACATTTTCTGTGTCGCGTGAGTGAAGTTGGGGACCTGTTAACCCTCATTGATTACAAAGATGGCCTAACTATTCCTTATAAGGCTTTGGACCCCTCCTTGGGTATCTTTTGGACATAGTTTGGCCTTGTCTTTTCCTAGTGAGGAGGATACCTTATCCTCCACATTAAGTAACCTGTCTAGTGTTATATATGACAAAAAAAATAAAGTTCCATGGAATATAAGCACCTACGTAATGCTGTTGGGATAGATTGCAATTTATGGATTTCATTGTTATGGTTACCATGTATTTTTTATTTTAATTGTCCTGTTTCAAGATGATGGATTGTGTAATTCATATGGAAGTATAGTAGTTTTCCTAAAATGACATGGGGGATTGTGTGCTACAAAAAGGCAAGTCAGAATCCAAACACCTTCTGATGTGAACATGACCTATGATAAGGGCTAGAGCAAGGGAAATAAAGGAAGCTCTTCAACAAATATTGTTTGTTGACCAAATTATGTTTTGAATTAATCAATTAATGGGATTTAGTTTGATTTTGTTTTAAGTTGTAATAAGGGCCCAATTGAAAATTTAGTCATCATCCTTTGGGAGACCAAGGGGTACACAGCTGATTGACTTTTGGTTGCCACAGTTTCAGATACAATCAGTCATTAAGTAGTTTCAATTCCTAGGTTAATGGATCATTATTAGCCTTTATTTGTTTCCATTAAATAATTTTCAATTCCTAGATTAATGTGTTATTATTAGTATTTATTTTCTTTTATTGAGTCTTATGTAATTCTGATGGCAACGCTTCTATATCAGCTGAACCATTTTTATCAAGAAATAACAAGCGGAATTTTATTCAGAAATATTAGAGTTTATCTCTTTTATCTTAGTGAGAGTGATTCTCCTAAATTCTTGAGTGATTCAAGAACCCTTGGCTGTATCAAAGGACTATCACATCCTTTGTGTGTTGCCTCCCTTGGGAAGAGTGATTCTTTCCATCCACCTTCTTTCTAATTCCTAAATTTCTTACAAGGTTTTAACCCTAAAGATCCTAAATTACCTCTTATGATTCATATCACCTTCCATGTCGGAAATAGAAAATCCTTCCACAAATCATGGACTATGTAACAAAGAGCAACTAAAAGAACAATGCTATTTCCCAAATATAAGACAACTGAAAAAAAAAATTGCAGATTCCTATCCAATCAATTACTGGATAACTAGAAAAACCAGTTCCATAATATCTTAGCCTCTTATTACTGCCATATTTGATTTAAATGTATGAAAATTGAACAAGGTGGAAGGATGTGCCTATTTTTCACAGTTAACTCAAGGAATTATTTGGATTAGCTGTAGATGTATGAATCTTTTAAGTATGATAGAATCCTATAATAACTTATTACATTAAGACAAGTTATGTTGTTGATATTATGGTCAACTATATTGTTCTATATTTATGTTATTAGCCTAAAATATGATAACTAAATAGTGTCATTATATACTCTCCCCTAGTGGAACATATATAGTTTAATGAAAAAACAGACATCTTTTTGAGTATGTTACTCGTCCTGTTGGAAGCCCCACATTGCTTGTCTCATGTCATGTACTATGGTTTAAATACATGTTAGGTTATTCCACCTATTGCCAATTGATTTTATATTAGAACCTTAACATAGTATCAGAATCAAAGGCTAACTTTTTTCTAATTGTTGCCTTGGGCCAAGAGTTGCCCTTTCATTGGAGGGGGTGTGTTGGAAGTCCCACATTGCCTGTCTCAAGTCATGTGATATAATTTAAATATATGTTAGACTATTCCACATATTGTCAATTGGTTTTATATTAGAACCTTAACACTTACTCTCTAAGTTCTAATATTGATCTTCCCGATCTCATAAGTGTGTTTTTCTTAGATACCCACAATCTAGAAAAGGGTTCAAGTTGATTAAAATTTTGCTTATGTCATCTTCAAAACAAATTCATTTTTGAGCTTACATGATCTATATTCAGACTTTTACTTCCTCACTTACACTTATCCCATTCCTATTTTATCCTCACTAAGAGTATCCATCTCCTCCACAAGTTTATTAGTCTCGTACCTGAGGAGTCCTTCCTTCTAAATATTAAATTCATTACTCTTCAAAAAGGTACCTATATTCGTTCTCTTCATTATACTTCCTTGAGGTATCATCGTATATCTCCTTCCTACTATTTTTGTCTTTTTTCCTTGTCCTCTATTTATTTTCACAATAATGCAGATGAAGCCTAATGCAAACAAGTTATGATAAACTAGATGTGTGGATTATAGAGCAATGGAACTTGGGACCACATTCTTTTACCACTATAGAAGTCTAGTTGTTGGTTATCATTGGATGTAAACAACCAAGTTTCGTCCAGATGGAAAGGTTGATTGACTTATGACTTGTCTTATCGCTAAAGGCTATATTTATATCTTTGAGTTGGATATAAGGATACTTTTTCTCCTATTTCTAAAATGCCTTTGTTGCCAATGGGTAGTATTTTGGTCCTGTATGATGATTGTGGAAATCTTTATATAGCCTCTAATAATCACTCAAATCATGGTTAGGCATACATAGTACTAATTCAATAGTTTGGTATGGCTTTGAACGAGGAAAACCACTTTGTCTTATATTGTCACTCACTTGCTAGTTCCATCTATATGTTATTCATGTCCATGACATTGGCATATGGGTAGTCATCATCTCGGTATCACACAAATGAAGCAACATCATTTTCAAGCATTTTCAAATGAAAGATCATGTCAAACTTCAATATTTATTGGGGTTAGTTGCAACACATCTTAAAACAGGTTCATCATATCCCAAAGGTAGTATGCAATGGATATTCTCGAAGAAATAGGAATGTAAAATTCCAAGACAATAAACACGTCATTGTATTCTTCTAGCCAAATCAGGGAGAGCCTCTTACAAATCCTGAAAGGTACAAACAATTGGTAGGAAAGTTGAAGTAACTTATTGTAACCTGTCTGATTATCTGATTTGTAGTAAGAGTAGAAAGTCAGTTGCTCAACTCTCCTTGTAAAATGCATTGACACGTAACTACTGATCTTGCTTCAGGAACTACAATTTGGGGAGGGTACATAGTTATTACTTATATGTGATGATCAGGTTGTTGTGCATATTGTCTAAACTTTTAGTATTTCATGAAGGGATGAAACCTAAAGTTGATTGTCACTTTGTCAGTAAGAAAGTCATGTCTGGGGAAATATCTACTACCTTTGTTAGTTTCCATGATCAACTAGTAAATATATTCAACTAAGTCACTAAGAGGTCCTCATTACTTACATATTTAACAACCATGTTGCTTATAACTTATGTTTTTCAGCTTGAAGGGAAGTGTTAGAATTCTATATATATATATATATATAATAACTGGTGATATAAAGATTCCTTGATGATATGAGGATCAATTAGATTGTTCTATATTTATGTTATTATCCTAAATAGGATATCTAAATATTTTGTAATTATGTTCTCTTAAAAATTGAATGACTCTGCTCTGGTCAAACACTCAAAATTCATCATATGCCTTCTCTTTCATTCTTCTCTACAACAGTCAAAAAGGAAAGTATAAAAGTGAATCAAACCACCATAGAGCAAGGCTCCTACAGAGAGATTGCTGTGCTCTGCTCATATTTGAATTTGTTATATACAAGTTGATCCTCTCTCTCGTTTCCATTCCCTATATACCCAATTCCCTGTTAGACATTTGGCATTTATGTTATACCAGCTGTCACCTCACCTTACTCTCACCAGGATTTCTCCTAATCTTGGGTCTTCCTAGTCCTATCATAGATCATGCTCAAGAAGCTAAACTTGTTATTCCGTGAAAATTGATCATCTTATTATTTAAAAGAAGTGGCTCCCGTGTCTAAAATAGATGTGCAGATAAAATACCTGAATATACAACTTTTCAATGTTCTGTGACAAATTTTACTGACCAATTGCACCATTGTATTGTAACCTTCCAAAACAAAGGCATTTTACTGCTCTGGTTTGTACTGATCCGATTTAGCATCATAATCCAAATGAGTTTTTGACTATATTCAGTATTCTTTTTCAGTTGCAAATTATATGATGTTATGAAACAGATTAATCACCTTCCTTCCAGCAGCATTAATGTTTCCTATGCATTGTCTTATTCCTTTGGTTGTGGCAACCAGAAATAATTTGTGAATACTTGAGTATTTGAAGTTACATCACACAATAATAAGATTTTATCCCTGGGAAATTGCAGAATTTCAGTCTTCACGAGCCTTTTGACTAAAAGAATATATGATACCTATGTATTTAATTAATTAAATAGAATTTGTGAAGTTTTCTCTTTTCTTTGGCATTATAACTTATGATCATTTCAACAGATGCTTTATCATCTTGGCATGGCTTGGGATTTACGCTGGAGAACTTGTCAAGATAATAGCACTAAGTTTTCTCTGCAGAAGCCAAATTTTTCTTCAGAGCCTTTGACTCCTTCGATTGAACAGGTGTCCATGCACCTCCCTTCATGGAAAAACCCCTATTTTCTTTGCCATTTAAGCTATATTAAGAAAATTCAGACAGTGATTATTATCATTATTGAAGCCTTGCACTTTTTATATTTTCAACTAGTTGTCATGGCTGGATACGGAATGGTCCTCAATTTTGCAAAGGACACAATTGCATATGAATTTACTAGAACCATTTATAGCATTTCGACGAGTTCTACTTCAAATTTTAAGCTCTAGAGACTGTATGCTGCAACATCTTTTGCAATCTGCCACCACTCTTCGTAAGGTATATCATTACAGTTACTATTAGACATAAATATATTTTAGGACATAACTGACTGTTTAAAGCGTTTAGGACATTTGGTACTTGACAAGGTGGTAAGGGATTCATTCCTTGGCTGTGCCATTCTTTAAAATTAATTTAACGCATAAAGTTGTCTGTACATTGTTTATTTACATCCTTAAACCATTAGCCAAATTTATTTTTAATTTTTTTATAATATGCTATTTCTTGATTTTACAGGGAGGTAGGTTCTCTCAAGCAGCTTCTGCTTTGCAGGAGTTTAAACTCCTTTCTGTCCAAAACAAAGGACAAAGCTCATCCTTATATTGGCTTGGACGGGTAAGGGGGCTACTACTACTTTGTGTGTGTCCATATCTAGAAATAGACTGTACTGTCGTTTCCTCAAAGTCAATTTCCAGAGTAGTAATTTAGAGTTTTTGCTCTGGACTAGTGGGCAAATTCTATGAACCACACTTCATCTTCAAACGAAGACAACTTTGAAATATGATTATATATGAAACCATTAGCATATATTGTATTGAACAACATAAAATAGAGGACAATAAAAGCAAGTTAGAGATATAGAGAAATATAAAACTATTTGTTTTGCTCGCAATTCCTATTGTAATAAAGTTTTCATCTCAATATCAAAAAGCAAGTGAGAAATATGAGCTTTCTCGTGACATAGAAAAATGATGTTGGAACTCATTAGCTGTAACAAGTTGTAAACTTGATATGAACTTGACCTTTGGTGATTATAGAAGTTAGTTGAAAAGTCAAGTTTGCTGAGAGTCTAAGTCATTAGCTGTAACAAGAAATATGTCTGCCGTCATGAATGATGAAATAGAGCGAGAGTGAAAGAGTGAGAGAGGGAAAGGTGTGAATACGTAGGAAAAGGATGGATTAATTCAGCAGGGTGGGGGGCTGTGATGGCACACGTTAAGAGTTGAGAGGTTTTAACACATTTTCCTGTTATCAAATACCCTGTTTTCATAACAAATCACCAATAAAATTACATTCCCTATTTCAATTCTCTTTTTACTTGCTCTTATGGATGTGCTTCATAAGGCCTGATTGGCTTGGTGCAATTGAATTGTCATCCAGTATCTTGCTAAATATTACTATAAGAAGGTAGCAAAATGTTTGTAGAATGACAATCTGCATTTGGTTGATATTAACACATCCTGTTTGCTTCTGCTTCTTGCTTTGATGATGCTCACTGTTGGATATATATATATATATATATATATATATATATATATATATAGTGATTAGTGGATCTAGTCCATGACATGTGTCTTATTTGTCTGAGTGGGCTCGCGTAGGGGCCAATACATTTCTGTTGATAGTCAGTCAATTCAGATTGTTTGTAAGGAATACTGTTAGCTGCCACATCAATCATAACTGACTGCAACTGTATTAGATCAGTATAATTACTTGTATCCTTGCATTGCGCTCATTCAGAGTTACAGTTTCTCTTAATTTCTCTCTTTTTCTCAAGTCTTATCACCATGAATTCTAACACCCACAAATCAGTCAGCAATAATATCTTTTTCATCAACCTTGCCAAGTAAGTAAGCTTTTGGATTGCAGCTTGAAGAAGCAAAGCTTTTCCGTGCTCAAGGTCAAAATGTGACGGCTATCAACCTTGCAATGTATATATCACAGAATTATCACTCTAATGAGGAGGCTTCAGATGCATTTCGGTTGATTGGGAAATGGCTGGCAGAAACCAGATCTAGCAAGTTATAAATGAAAAATTAATTTTATGAAAAAATAATAAGCTTTCTATTTTTCATGGTTCACTTAGTTGTTATTTTCCCTGTTTTGGTGTAAAATTGCAGCTCAAGAACAATTTTGGAAAAGTATTTGAAACCTGCAGTCTCTATTGCTGAGGATGTTACTGTTACAGCTAAGAATTCCATGGAAAGGAAATGCCAGACTCACTTTCATCTTGCACACTATGCTGATGCTCTATTTAGAAGCCATGAAGAAAGGCTTAACTCAAATGAATGGCAAGCAGCAATGCGTTTAAGAAAGCATAAGGTACCTAATTTATTGACTTGAATTTGTTGACTAAGGGCAAGCATAAGATAGTAGGTTTATGTGTGACATTTTTTTGAGATTTATGTATTTTCTATTTTTCTAGATTGTTATTGTTGTAAATAGCGGTTTTCTAGAATAAATATCTTTAGAATCTTCTTTTTTATTTCAGCATTTTTTTTCCTTATTTTAGAGAAATTGATTCTTTTAAATAAGAGGATTGGAGAATGTTATTGGTATGGTTGTTATCAATAAAAATTATTTCATGTTTTTTTATGTTGTTCAAATGTGTACGAGAGCTCCCAATCTTGGGAGCTCTGTTTTGGCTGCCCGCACAACCAGTGAAACAAGAGTTCATCGTCATTGTCAACCTCACAGATGTTGTCCACCCAACCACCATCATTGAGGTGGTGGTAGGCCAAAGATGTGTGCCCCACGCCAGTGATTACAATGCATTGTTTTGAAGAGCCATCATGCATTTCTACCACTATGGGTTCATGTATTCGACATGCCATTTTCAAGGAGACACACTTGTCTAGTTCCAACTAGATCCACTTGTCTTGTTTCGACTAGACCTACTCATTGCCGCCACCACAAACAACAACACCTAGACCCCTGAGTTCATTTCAAGGGGCAATGACATCCCGATTGATACTACTATCTATCTGAGTGTTAAACTTATAACAGATCTTGGAAGATATTAAATTGTGGAATGTCTAACTTTTTTATTAGTTACTAAAGATAACTAGAATTGACAAAACTATAGACATAGTAAGTAAGTAAATTTCTTAACTCTGAGAGTGATGCAGATGCAATGACTAAAATATTGAAAGCAAAATATGAGAATGGAACCAAAATTGATATTGTTCTTTGTACTGTTAAATGCTAATGACCATGGACCTCATGGTATTGTTGATTCTGCAGACAGTAGAGTTGGAGGAACTCATAAAGCGTGTAAGGAGCTCGACAAAGGTAGTTAAAAAAATTGTTTTCTTTTTACTGCTTCATTCGCTGATGCTCTAACTCCTTTTGTAAATAATTTAGGGGGAGAAAACTGACTACTCAATGAAAATCCAAGAATTGCAAAAGCAAGTAGCAATGGACAAGGAAGAAGCCCAGAAATTGCAGGTATTGACTTTGCTTGATGAGTTGGGAAGGAACTTTTATATGATTCTATGTGAAACTAAATGAAAAGGTTTGATAAGGTAAACTTTTCAAATTGGTAAATAATCCCCAATTTTAAATTGATAAATAAACTTCACTTGTGAAATTTTATATTAAATCCTGCATTTTAATTGAATAGATCTAACAGTTTCCAATTGATGAACAAATTTTACTTCTCCCTACACTTATCCCAAACCTGTATGTATAATGTGGTAGATATAAGTTATTTTCCTGCCTTCACAATCTCAGGATGACCGAGACAATTTTCTTAGCCTGGCATTGGAGGGATATAAGCGGTGTTTAGTCATACATGACAAGTATGATGTGAGAGTGGTATGTAATTCCTTAGTTTCCTTCACTACTAACAAGTTGTGGAATGTATGCTCACATGTTAAAGCTTTGATTGACCTTATCATCTGACAACTCTTTCTATCTCTCTTCAAACATGGAATGTTTATTTCCTTATATCTGAATTTGTACAGGTTTATTCCAGAATTATTTCTTAATAATTAGTTTCCTTGTTTCCTTAATGATGAAAGAATGCATGGGAGCTGGTCCCCATATGTCACAAGAATTAAACAGTATTAGAAAGATGAGAAGGATGCCTATGAGACTTGCCTATAACTAAGGTTGCCAACTCTATTATTCTACAGTGACAATGTAGTGAGAGCGGGTGAATTTACAGTGGTTGAGGAAAAGGGGAAAGAAGTACTTACATAGTATACAAAACAATAGAATTTGTACACTTGCTAGTGATGAAACAATCCTTGATCAAGAAGAGTGTGAAAGTACATTTGGGAAGGAATACAGGCCATCAAAGCTGAGAAGATCACATAGCATTGTGGTCAACCTGAGGTTGACAATGAAGCAAGTAGGGCGAGACTCGAACTAAACATGATTGTCATGAGAAAATTTGCTCACATTCATTAGGTTCTTAGTGTTAGAAGAACCAAACAACATAATATTAAGATGTAGCAAAGTATGTGTTGATAGGAAGAAAAATAAATTGAACTAACAAATTTAATGTGCATGCCTTGACCATTTCCTTTGAACATATCTTTTTTAGTGGAATGAGGAACTTTAATGGTTTCGTTGTTGGGGTTTGCATTGTCATTTTGTGAGGCACCTAATTTTATATACCAATTCTGGTACATCTGTAGAGGGACATTATTTGCAACAAAGGCAAGAGGAGAAGGTATAGTGGGAATAGTCATAGGTCACTGAGATGCTGTTCAGGTTCTAACATAAAACTAATTAGCAATATGAGGAGTAGCCTAACAGGTATTTAAACCATACCATATGACATGAGGCAGACGATGTGGGACTTTCAACATACCTCCGTCAATGAAACATGCCAGACCAGCCAAAGGATACTTTTGACCCACAATGAAAGGAGCAACTTTTAGCCCAAGATGACAACCGAAAAGAAGTTAGGCTTTGGCTATGATACTATGTTAAGGTTCTAACATAAAACCAATTGGTAATATGAATAAGCTAACAGATATTTATACCATACCACATGATATTAGACAGGTGATGTGGAACTTCCAACAGATACTATCACTGATTGTTGAGGTCAAATGTATTGATATGGCCTAATAGGCTGGATATGGTTAAGGTGTATAATATAGTCTTGAGGCATGTAATTTTTGTTGTTTAGAGTTATAATTCTACTATGGAGACACATAATTGGGATTAAATTGATAATAGTAGTATGGAGCAATATGACCAAATTTATGATAAACTTGGCAAAATTGGCGTAACAACCACCTGACACTTTGAAAACTAGAGGCATAACTGCTGAGAAAAAGGAAAACGAACTTAAGTTAGCTTAAGAGTTGAAACAAAATCAAGAATTTCTATTTGTTTGTTAATTCAACTTTCTTGAACTAACTGGAGAGACTCAGCATGATCAAAATCAAACCAATCCGGTTTACTATCAACCAAAGTAACTACAGATTCATACTCCAGTAATAATCCTGCAGATGCATCAAGTTGCTCTTGTAAGGAAACAATTCCTCGGTTGAAAAGAGACCATTACAATGTGATTCAGAAGTTGGCAAATAAAGGGGTCACCTTTTTTGTTGTTACAAAGCTCAAGAATAAAGATGACAAACTTGCACGGTCTTCAAATGAAAATGTTAATGAATTTTTCCCATAACTGACAGGAGTAGCAACATTTAATAGCCTCTGGTAGAATTGATGGCTGACATAGAAGATTGAAAAAGCCATAAAGGAGCTGATTCTGTAACTCCCAATTTGTATAAATTGGATTCCCATTATCAATGATGTGAGCTGCTTCAATGAGATAGCGGCTAAGGATTTCAGAAGCAACTCAAGATTTTGGAGAGAATCTGCATGAAAAACTGGCTCTACGTGCTAAATACAAACAAGATTATAAGAGGTAGATAATATGACAATTGCCAATCAGTTTACAAAGACCATAACTAACTACTGTAATTAACATTGCTGATTTGGAAAAGAACCAATCAGCTCAAGAGAACATAACTAATGACTATAACTAACTATGCTAGAGTGGCAGATAGCTAAGCAGCTTACAAATAACATAACTAAATTTTGTAACTATGTTGATGTGGCAGATAATCAATCAGCCTACAAGGAAAAGAGAAGAACTCCATAACTCCATTAGAACTTCCTCTAGATTTGTTATTGGACCTCTCATAATTTTCCACACTTGCATATGTCCATGCTCTAGATTTCTAATCATAGCGTGAGGAAGTGTGTTGAGATTTCATACCAGCTAAATATATGACCAATATAGTCTTGTACGGCTAAGAATGGCCTCACCTTACAAGCCAATTTTATGGGTTAAGTTAGGCCTTAAGTCCAACTTCTAAGAAGTTCTTTTAATTATTTCCAGAATCTAAATATTCATAAATTTTGGCGGAGCTGACCCATAAAATGTCTATGGAGAGATCAAGACAAAATTTTGACATGGTTGCATTCTCAATAGATATATGCCTATACACTGTGTAGCCAATTAATGAGTTACCTGGTAATATGATTTCCTTTAACATGTTTATTTGCTTTCAGGTGTTTCGAATTGTTTCCTTGTGGTTTAGTCTATCTTCACGAAAAGATGTTGTAAATAGCATGCTTAGCACAATTGATGAGGTATATAGTAAAACTTTGCCAATCAATCAACCTGATTTGTATGACCTTTACACATATCTTAAGATTTTTTTTGTTGGTTTTGTATTTGGATTGCATTTGAATCTGTTTGTAGGTTCAATCTTTCAAATTTATACCTTTAGTATACCAAATTGCCTCTAGAATGGGTAACTCAAAGGATGGTCATGGCAATCTCAATTTCCAGGTTCTGGCTTCACCAACCCTATATGCATTAAATGTTGCTCATGTAGCTTTCCTTATTTAACATGAACATGGAATATGCAGTTTGCATTGGTTTCTCTTGTGAAGAAAATGGCCATTGATCATCCATATCATACGATACTTCAAGTAAGTAGTACCTTTATCTGCTATCTGGCAATGATTTGCATGCTGATTCAAATTTTTTTATTATTTTCAAAAGTAAAAAGTTAAAGATTTAAGGGAAAACATAAAGCAACCTTTTTCAATGTGTTCTTAGCATTGCTTGCTTCAAACATTAATTCTCTGACCAAAAATACTTTCATCATATATTTTCCTATTTAGCTTCTAGCTCTGGCAAATGGTGACCGTATCAGGGACAAACAGCGTAGTAGAAGTTCATTTGTGGTGGATATGGACAAAAAACTTGCAGCAGAAAATCTTCTAAATGAGTTGTCATCTTATCATGGAGCTATCATACAACAAGTAACACTCTTTGTATTCTATAATTTCTTTCATATTTCCAATTAGCAATCAATTACCTTCAAACTGCTTGTGTTACATATGTAGATGAAACAAATGGTGGAGATTTATATCAGACTTGCTGAGCTGGAAACAAAGAGAGAGGTGACATGTTTTAATATATTTCATATCCATTCTTTCCTATGACCATGAATGTATTTGAAGATATTTCTATCATTGGCTTTGCCAAATAAAGTTCAAAAATTTATTTCTACAGCTTTCTAATTGGATTATTTATGCAGGATACCAATAAAAAGATGACACTACCAAGGGACTTGCGTAATCTGCCTACGCTAGAACTTGTAAGTGGCTTGCTAAATTTCTGGTTGATGCAATGACTGAATGATGTTTATGTGGAGAAAACTTTTGGGGACTGGACAGTGGGCAAAAATAATAGCTATATTTCCAAAATCGTGACAGTGGGCAACTTCTAATGGCATTTCTTCTAAAACTGGTGATGGGTGTGTTTTGTCATGAAAAGTACATAAACACTTGAGGTCCATATACAATTATTGGAAATGATATCAGCATATGTATGGAATATTTGCACTAAAGTATGCAATTATCAATTTTACAAAAATTCAATGAGATTTCCGTATTTACATCATATTATTTTTGGGATTTTAACAATAAAGTTTGCAAAAAACAGAAGTTCTAATTTTTTGTATCAAAATAAATATTTATTACATATGAAAAATAATAGAAATGCTGGGACCATAATTTAATTGACTTCTATTGTAGTGTAAACAAAATATATACTTTACATAGCAAAGTATACATATTATCTCAAACCAAAATATTAATTAGATTTAAGACGTGGTGAAAAAAAAAAAAAAAGTATGAAGCTTAAAACATGTATGTAATACTCTGGTGAATATATTTACTTGCTACTTTGTAATGTAAATCTCATCATAATAACATTTCTGTTGCTTGAAAAAGGCTAATTGCTTTAAGATTTTGGATTATGGTAAAGTTGAGAATATTTAAATTCAAGTTGGAAGCTTTTTTTTTTAAATAAAAACAGGTATTCGTAGGAATTCACTATACTAGCTACAATCCCGACTAGGTTGACACTCTAGCAAATAACAATCATTTGAAGCATACCTAAATATTAAAATAAATAAAGAAACAAAAAAAGCAAAAGTGGGGGGTCACACCAAACCCACTATGGAAATCTAAAATTAGGAAGACCAAAATGGCGGATGCAATCCCACCAAAAATAACCAATGTTCTTAAGTCATATTTTTAACTAAGACGAGTTAGAGGTGACTGTAACTAAAGCAGATTTCCAACACACACACTCACTTGCAGCATGGCAATGTCAGAACCCAACATTGGATCTAGGATAAACTTTGATATCCTCTCATAATTTAAGCTTAGGGTCTAACTCAATACCACAAAACTTATAAGATGATGAGTACTCAAACCTTATAAGTTTTATTTATGTCATATTTATAGTTTACGTGGGAGTGGGATTAAACACCACTTTTTAGGCTGCAATTTAAGACATCCCCAAAGAGGCAACAAATTAAGGTGACCCCAATTAAGGAGGTTTCCCAACAATATTTATTACCAGTTGGTCTTGTGTATAATTATCATTACTTTCCCTTGAATGATTTGTATTTTGTTCAATCTCTCTTGAATCATAACTTCACAGGCTTTTTAAATGACTTAGCACTAATTAATGAATGTCATGCATTTTCATCTTTTTTCCTCTTCAATGCATTTAGACTTTGTTAACTATTCTGTAGTCATTATTTTCTAAGTGAATCTTGTTTCTGGGTAGTACAGATATCATGTATTGTTTCATAGTTCAGAAGATACTTATATTGATTTTTCTTTGGTAGATTTTTGTGTGGCTGCAAATACATTTCCTATTAAATTTTGGTTGTAGATATTTATATAAGCATTGTACATTGTCAACATTAGGTGTGCTAAACTTGTTTTGTATTCGTTTTGTTGAATTAATTTTATGCTAAATTTACATTTACTCCGGACATTCAGGTACCTGTAGTGACAGCTACAATATCAATTGATCGTAGTTGTCAGTATCATGAAGGCACTTTTCCTTACTTCAAAGGACTAGCAGATTCAGTTATGTATGTATCAAACATTTATAGCATTCACAGAGACTAGGATGCGAAACTTGATGGATCAATCTACTTTGTGCTGGTTTGATTTGCAGGATAATGAATGGTATAAATGCTCCAAAAGTGGTTGAATGCTTGGGTTCTAATGGCTGCAGATATCGGCAACTTGCAAAATCTGGAAATGATGACCTAAGACAGGATGCTGTATGTATTCTTTTAGCTTATGCCTTATGCTTTGTAATCTTGTCGTCATCTACTGCTGATTTTGTGCTGAATTATTTAAGCTGAATGGTCTTTTAGTCCTTTAAAGTGTACATTTTCATCTTTCACATTTATCTTTAATTTCAAATAGGTCCGAACATATTATCATTAAAAGGCAATTTAGACCTTATATATTGTATTTTATCATAACATAGAAGAACAAAATTGCATTTTAATGATAATATGTAGAGACTCGCTTGAAATGAAAAATGATTGTGAGAGGTTTAAGTTAATTATTTCAAAATTCTAAGAGTAAATTGAAACTTTCATACACTTTTAAGGATCAAATTGACAATTTTACCAATTATTTATTTGTTTGTGTTTAGAAAATAATTCACACTTGAAGCTTATTTGACAATTTTTTTGGGCAACTCTACTTTTCTGTTAATTGTAATATTAAATTAAAGCTTTAAATACATTTTTCCCTTGTTTAATTGACCCCAATTTTTATTTTGGCCTATATACTTTAAAGTATTAGTTTTTGGTCTTCATATATTTTTTTTTGTTCAGGTTTAGTCTAGCTGGTATACCATACAACAGTCCTAATAATTTGTCTTTGGAGGCGAAGTGTTTTGGAATATCGCTTATAGTAGGGATTAAAACCAAAAATTTTTAAATCATGGGAACTAAGCCGAACTTTTAAATATAGAAACCAATACCCAACTCAAGGTAAAGTGTAGGGACCAAATATCTGTTTAAACCTAAACTAAAATGTCATATAAAGGTATCAGTTTATGTATCCTATTTCTGAAAACTGATTCTGTCTATCTATCCAGCAAACCTTTTTGGCTCGTCCAAGTTAAACCTTTCAGTATATATTAGTCAGCATAAGAAATCTTTTCTTTTGAGATATTCACGTTTTTCTACAAGGGAATATGCACGTCTTAAGGAATCTTATTTTGCCATATATGTATTGCTTATTCTGATGTGTTATATTAAACTGCTGAATGCTTGTAGGTAATGGAGCAATTCTTTGGTTTAGTTAACACATTCCTGAGGAACCATCAAGATACATGTAAAAGAAGGCTAGGAGTACGGACTTACAAGGTATATTCTGCATTTTTAAAGTTCTTGGTCTTTGGTGCCGGTGATTGGCCGGTGAATTGTAACACAGTTGTCAACAGAATAAGCTATCAGCAAACAGTTTTAGGGAGGAATAAGGAATGTCTTAGAATTGCTTGTCTGCTATATAATGTTTTTGCAGAAGGATCTTATTCCAATCGCAATTTTTTCATATAATTCTCTCCCTTGCACTTGATAGGCCACTTTCTGAATATTTATTATATTCTTCAGATTATGTGTAGGAATTTCTTGGTCTGTAAAATAAAACGCCGCTCTATAATTTTTTTCTGCCTGAAAAATCCAAAGAACGTCTATTTTTTCTTTGCTATTTGTAAGCATTTTTAAAGTTAACTCTGAAGGGATATACTTGAGAGTTATATTATACGTAATTAATTTTTTCTTTAGATTGTACTATCATTTTGAAGTTATGGCTTAAAGGGATTAAATTCTTTAAATGGTTGAGAATTAAGTTTTTTTTTTTTTTTTGAAATAGGTTGTTCCTTTTACTCCAAGTGCTGGTGTTCTTGAGTGGGTTAATGGAACCCTTCCTCTCGGTGAATATCTTATAGGGAGGTCAGTCAAAGAAATACAGGTTTTACAGTATAATTTCTCGTTCTTTTCGTCTTTGAACCAACCTATTCATGTCGTGAACCAAACTATCCCAAACGCTATTGGGTGAAAGTACATGAATTGTTTTATATCATACAGTCCCTCTCTCAAGAACCCTTTGGGATTGAAACATGGGCAATCCACTATTTACCCTACCTGTGCTAAAATATGACATTTATGAGGGAAAACGGATCAAACTTTGACCAAATAAACCAAAATATTAAGTTATTTACAAGTGCATGAATGACTTTATATCTAACAGTCTTTCTTTAACTTCAGCATGAGAAATGGAGGTGCTCATGGTCGCTACGGAATAGGAGATTGGGCATTCCTTAAATGTCGAGAGCACATGGCAAATGTAAGAAAATAATATTTAAGTACTTATGTCAACTAAATAATCATATATTGTTTGTTTCATAGTTTTCTATAGTGATGATAATTTGAATTTATTTATTTCCGAAAAAAATTGAGGAAGGGTGGGGGAACTGTTAACTATAAAATATAAAATGTCTTACAATTTTGGTTAGGATTAGGACCTAAAACAGAATCATTCAGAACTAGGTTGTAAGGTATAGTTTATCCGAACTTCACAATTTCTATTTAAACCATGTTAATAGTCAATTTAGGACTGAGCACACTCCCTTTAAGCTGTAATTATGGCAGGCCGATAGCACTGCATTTAACGTAGACAACAGTGATTGCAAGTAAGGCAATTTAAACAATATAAAATATTTATATCATTCTTAGAAAATAGATTTTAAACTTAAGGCTTTCACTGATATATATTATAATTTAGTTATATCTCTATTCGATTAGAGATCACTAACCATCATTATCATTAAAATAGCTTGAATCAGGCTACAATTTTAGTTTATACTGAAATGGCTGAAACTGTATTTAGATAATAATTTTGGAGATGTTTTAGTGCTTATGCATGGACAAGTCAAATTCATTTTCAAATACTTCCCAATCATTTTACTTATTCAACTATTAAAATATGCATTGACAAATTGAATGCAAACCAAAGCAATGAAAATACATACTGACAGCATAAATGCATAAAAAATTAACTTATTTTAATACCTTTTACTTTCTAATGTCAAATCGAATGATACTACGTGTAATGTTTTCTTGATAGGAGAGGGACAAGAGCAAAGCATTCCAGGAAGTTTGCAATAATTTCAGGTGTCTTTCCTATACTTATCTTTTAAAGGACCCAGATCCCATCATCAGCATCATTGCTTAATCAGATTATCCTGCAGGCCTGTTATGCATTACTTTTTCTTGGAGAGATTTTTACAGCCGGCTGAGTGGTTTGAAAAGAGACTTGCTTATACCCGAAGTGTTGCTGCTAGTTCTATGGTAATAGCATTCTACTTTTTCATGCATGCTTATTTTATCAATATATGGATTTCGTCAAACCTGAATATCGCTCAAAGTTATCAAGTGCGCCTGTCTGAAAGTTTTATATTTTTCCAAGGCAAATATCTACTGTTGTGATAGTGCTATATGTTGGAATGAATACTACTCGGACTTCTGAACTAACTGTTCATATGTTGCCCATCCATGTGATCTTAATCCACCGTTATATATGATTTTCTATTTTATTTTAAAATAGCTTTCAGTAATTTTTATCTGGAAGATCACCAAAATCTCCTCTACATCAATGTATTACAATCCTTGGTAAACTTATTAGCTGTGATTCATATTCAGGTTGGATATATCGTGGGCCTTGGAGATCGACATTCGATGAATATTTTAATTGATCAGGCCACTGCAGAGGTCGTTCACATAGATCTTGGTGTTGCTTTTGAACAAGGCTTGATGCTTAAAACCCCAGAACGGGTATGTACTTGATAGTGCTTGAGTCATGCACTTATTTCCATAGTTCATCAGGATTGTCGATATCATCTGTAATTGCTGGCAGGTTCCATTTAGGCTTACAAGAGACATAATTGATGGAATGGGTGTAACTGGAGTAGAGGGGGTTTTTCGAAGATGTTGTGAGGAAACACTATCTGTCATGCGGACAAACAAAGAAGCATTGCTGACGATTGTGGAAGTAATCATACTTCAGTCAATCTTTTTTAGTATGAATTGAACTTCCATTTCTATTATGTCTTCATAATGAGTGTCCTCTGCAGGTTTTTATCCACGATCCTCTCTATAAGTGGGCTTTATCTCCTCTGAAAGCTTTGCAGCGTCAAAAGGTACGGTGCCTGCAGGTTTTTAGACTGTCTTATGTTATTTTCTTTATTTAATAAATGTTCAGCATCTCATATGAGGGTTCGGTGACTAGCATAAATTAGCGATTGTCAAAAGTTGTGAAAATAAGTACATAACAGCTGCTCACCTCTACAAATTCCTCTGTAATGGTGTGGATATTCTCTTTTGGGTTCTCGATAATGTCGCTGGTTGTAGATTTTGGTCTGGTTGTAAATATGTTCAACTTGCATTATTAGATTTACATGCTGCGTGACCTTTCCTTCTTTTCTCCACAGGATTTGGACGATGATTTTGATACAAGTTTGGAGGAACCACAAAATGATTACCAAGGAAACAAGGATGCTACACGTGCACTTCTACGCGTCAAGCAAAAGCTAGATGGGTATGAAGAAGGTGAAATGCGAAGCATCCATGGGCAGGTATTTTGTTGGCATATCTCTGCCAAATGACTTTATAAGAATTATCTCCTTTTCTTTTGGTTTTCTTTCCCTTCATCCAATATTAGCTAATAAAGTGGGTTGGATGATGGATATGCATTTTTTTATCATTCAAATGTTAAAATTTAAAGCTGGAAATAAACTTGTCAAAATGAGTGGTGTTACGAAGATTCATCCATCTTACCGAAGAATCATGTGCTTCAATTGCCGACAATTTGTAATCACCAACTGGCAATTTGTAGCGTTGGTGGCACAAAGATAAAATGAAGTCTAAATGTATATGTTCTAAATATCATGAAAAAATAAAAATTTGATACTTTTACTTACAGGTGCAACAACTCATCCAAGATGCAATTGATTCTGAGCGATTGTGTCAAATGTTTCCTGGTTGGGGAGCTTGGTTGTAATTTGCACTCTTGTATAGGCGGCATTCGTCTACCTCGTTGGTATTCCTTCGTGTGTGTAATATGACCAGTTTCTTTCTTCTTTGTTGTATTATATTTTTGAAATTTTGTTGGGTGAGTTGTAAAATGGTTTTATGTTAAAGGATGCAAAAGGAATGGTTTATATGTATAATCTGCCCACTTTATCTATTTCTTCCACCTATCCTTAAATTTAAAACATTACAGCAAGAAAAATTCTCTTAATGGTGACATTCTTATTTTTTTATTAATGTGAAATACTTATCAAGTATTTTGATCATGACACAAGACATTTGAATCTTGACCCAAGTGTTTAGATCATTAACGGAGGATAATTTTAATTTGGGTTAAGAAGTTTTAAAAAATAAAATGCATAAATATTTTTATATTGCAAGAGTTTTGAAAGTAATATTTTATGAGTACTTTTCATATTAATTTTACCATATTTCATGAAATGAAATCTAAAGAATTTGTTTAATTTAGAAGTTTTACATAATATTACTTAATTAAATTTAAATTTTAACATAAAATTAGTAAACATAAATAATGTGTTTTTATCTAAATATAATCCTATATAAATTAGTTATAAATTGACATTTTTAAAGTTAAGTTTGATTATTCAATTAAAATAAGTTTTATTGTTTTATAAAATAATTTTTAAATAAAAGTATTGTTATTTTATATTATAATTTATATATTAGATCTTAAAATTTAAAATTAAAATTAATTTTATTAATAAACTCAAAGTTAAAAATATGGTTTTTTATCTATAATGTAAAATTATTTTTTAGTTATTAATTAGTTTATGGATAAATTATTTTATATAGATATGTTGTGGATTTTTTTTTAACCAAATAAAAATTTATTCATGGTTTAACATAAGATTAGATTAAACAAAAAATTATGATCCTTTTAAAATTTAAGTTTGGTTAGGTTGTTAATTTTTTTTTCAACCAAATAAAAAATTATCCATGAGTTTAACATAAGATTGCATTAAATAAAAAAGATTATAATCCCTTTTAAAATTTAAGTTTGGTTAGGTTGTTAAATTTTTATTTTTACATTGTTTGTAGAATTGTTATAATAGTTCTATTTAAAATTTAAAACAATTTTTTATTTTTATAGTTTTGGTCAATTATAGTATTAGTTTTTTTTATTTTAAAATTGGTTTCAATCTTATATTCCCAAAATTAAATTAATATAATTATCCAAATAGGGATAGTATATTGGGCAAGTGGAATGACTTGTCGATCTACCATTAAATAGTTAAGGAGGGATTTTAGGATGTTTTCTCCTTGCATTTCCATGGTTTCTTATTGCACCTTTGTAAGTTGTGTTTAAAGATCAAAATATTGTTAGGTTAGTTTTAAAAATCTAAACCCTAAACTTATGAGTACTAAAATTCACCCATCTCTATACCTATAATGATTGCACCTCCACACACCTCTTGTAACCTCTTCTAATGAAATGAAAACAAGTCAAGGTATGTAAGTTTAAAAAATTGATTTCCTTTGGTGTTTTGAGACGTATTTAGATTCCACATTATAAAAAATATCCAGAAAGGTCGATATGAATATATTCTAAATAGGAAATCTAAAAGGAAATGTTATTTTCAAAAGAATTATGGAATGAGAAATCCATAAATATTGTAGATAAGATAATCCAAAAATGAATTCCATATTAGGTAAGGTTTCTAGATTATTTATTCCCTAATGTTATTCAGAATTGTATTTTTCATAAATATATTTTGAATTGAGTAATCTATACGTCATTTGTAATGTTTAATTGTATGTATAGTTTGGTTATGGTAAGGACAAGGGTTGGTGGTTCCCATCGTTCAAACATGGGTGGCAAATTGCCTAAGGTGTCGTCCATGGGTGGAAATTCAATAAGATACGGGGGTTGGCACCACTAGTAAGTGTTAGTTACGAAACGTTGCACTCTTCTGTCGTGGGTTAGTAGAATTGTTAACAGTTGCAAATCAAGCATACTCCATACCGTGGATATTCTTTTGCAGTTACATATATGTATGAGCAGCTCATTAAGTAATTAGTTAGTTACTAATGAATATATTTTATCAATATTTTTATTAATGTATTTTATATATAATTATTTTATTTAATTATATATTATTAATATAATTTTAGTAAAATAGAATTAAATAAATTTGTAGTCAATTTGTTAATTAAATTGTATAATTTTCTGAGTATTACATTCATAAAAAAATGATAAATTAATGAAAATTAAAAGTTTTGAGTAAAAGAATTTTCCTCAATTGATAAACAAAGTTCTAACTAATCTAATATGTTCTTTATTGGCCTTGGGAAAGCTCTAATTCTCTAATTTTTAGAATTTTCTTTAGTTCTTAGTTTAGACTTTTCAAATACTCCATTTTACAAGTTTTGTATGAATTCTTTAAATTCTTTAATTTAAGATGTTTTAACTCATATTTATCTTCTTTCTTTTACTATTTTACTTTAATTTTTGCAATTTATACTTTTTTATTATTTTACATTGCATTTTAATGACTTTCTAGATTTTTAGGGTTGGTTTTTCAATATGAATTTTGTTTTCATTGATTAAGGTTTGATTCTTCAAGATTTTAACTATTAATAAATAATTCATTATAATGAATATAATTAAGATTTTTGCTTGAATTTAATTAATTACCTATAAATTAATTTGTACATTTATGTGATTGCTTCTCATATAAGTTATATAAGTTTTATGTTTATGAAGCAATTAAATTTGGTGAACCAATTAAATATAGATAATTAAATTATGAGTTGTTAGAATTTTTATAGATCTATATATAAGTCTAGAAATTAATAATAATCAAATGAACAAAAAATAATTGAAAAATTAATCATGATTTTTAATTTATTTTAATATTTTTATTGTATTCATTTCCTATTTTCATTTAGATCTATAATTTTTTTTGCTTTTAGTTATTTTGTAAGACACAAAATTCATAAAATCCTCAATTCCTAACCATTTCAAAATTGAAAACTAAGTATAGTATAATTCATCAATACTTTTTGAAAATACTATATGTGTTTTCCTTAGCTACTACAATTTTCTTCCTTTTTTTATCATATAGAAGACAAAATATGTATGATCAATTATGCTACTTTATTACATGCTGGTGATTATATTGTTTTACTATTTCTAAAATCAAAATCTTGTTGAATTTTTATGTGCATTAAAATGGTGTTAATTTTGTTACTTAATAGGCATAGATATAGGAGCACTTTCCCAACTTAGGTTTGAGAAAGGTGATGCAAGATTATGTCGAGAATTTCCATGAAGTATGAGATATGCGGCTAGCATAGTGTCTACCATTGTTACCAAATGATTTCAACTTCATAATCTAACATTAACTGGGGTTAACAGCTTTGAGTAGATTATTATGTTCTCAATGTACATTAGGTTACTTGTTAGAGCATGTCTTTCACATGTGATTCATTAACCATAAAAACTTTTATTGTTGAGATTGGTCTTAACATTTAAATGTCATGTCACCATTTGATGATGTGATGTTCAAGAGACCCAAAGAGAATATTATGTTAAAGTGAATACAAATTAACATTAAAGATATTAATTACTTTTTATATACTATCATATTATTAATATTTTTATTTTTGTTAGACATATATTAAAGAATCAATTTCATATTGTAATCCTTAGTCATCTCCTTTAAAATATTATTGCATGGAGGAAATACACAATTTCAAAATTATAATATAATGTATCTACTAAGAAAGTACGAGTCCAACATAAAATTATATATATATATATATATATATATTAATGTATCTAATTTTTTTATCTTTAATAATAAATATCCCATGATTAGATACAAAGTAAATATACTTTTTATTACTTTTTAATTTTCAGAGTTTTGAAATAATTTGTGTTCACATCTCTTATTTTCAAACTTTACCAAAAACATTACGAAGTATAAATAAAAGATATTATGACTGTTTTAATTATATTTTTCATTTTTCTATAAGAACTTTAAAATATAGATTAAGAAAAAGGAACATTAAATGTTAAAATAACAAGACAATACTTTTTGGTGCATGATCTAGAGTATTTGTTTTGGTGTTCTCATACTATGTGGTACAAAGTATTGCAACGAGGAATTAAATGAATTGTTTTGATGACCAACGAAAAGTGAGAGAGAAAGAGCATGGTGGTGGAGAGTGACTGGTGTAAGTGTAAGAAGATATTGTTAATGACGTTGAAGAGATAAGTGAAGAAGATAAAGTGGAAAAAAAATAAAGAAAAAAAAACTTATAAATATATTATATAACCAAAAACTTGTGTTAATCTAAGGATAATTAATAATGCTATAACAAGTCATAGAGTTTCATTAAATATAATGGAGTTGTCAAAAATTTTGTGAAAATATTAAAATAAAAAAAGGTTATTTTCTCATATAAAAATCACTTTTATACATTACAAAATATGAAAGTGTCAAAGGTCCCTCTGTTCTTGAAAAATTTTCCACTAAATAGAATAACATATGAAAATAATTTAGTGAAAATTGAGTGTTAAAAAAATATCAATTATAATTGAAAAAAAATGAAATATTTTACTATATTAAAAATTAAATAAAGAAGAGTATCAAAAAGTTAATTTTAGCATAACTTTGAGATAAAAAACAAAAAAAAACAAAAAACAAAAAAACAAGCAGAATTACAGAAAACTTATCTGGATGCCAATGGGTGGTTTTGGGTTTCTTAGGATGAAAACTAAAAACATACTCATATAAAAAAGCATTATTTATTATTGTGTGTAATCAAATAAAACTCCTAAATGTCAATGGGCTCATTTTTCCCTTTCTTGGGACCAAACCTAAAGAAATATTTATAATAATTTTTCTATCTCACCATTAAAGTTGAATTATGTCATAAATAGTTATATACACTTATAAGACAATTTACATTAATTTTATATTATTATTAAATATTTAATTATTTTTTTCCCAAATTATATGACATTATTTAAGATATTTGACAAAAAATTAAAAAAAAATCATTTTTATTTTTATTTTAAATTAAAAAACATATATCTAATTTGAAATATAAATTTAATAAAGTTGATAAAAAAATCGACTGATTAATTAAAATTTTGTTAAATTATTTTATCTATTCTTTTAAAACCATATGATTTAATTTAAATTTTGAATTAAAATAAAACTAAAAACTGATTATTATATTGAAATATAACATAATATATTTAAAATTTATTATTAATAAATAAACATAATTATATATTATAAGTTTGATTATATATTTATATTTATTAAAAAAATATTAAATTTAGATTATAATTTTTAATTATTATATGATACATTTAAAAAAATATAAAATTATAATTAAAATTTTAATAATATATTTTTTATAATGTTTCTAATTTGAGAGATTTTTATTATATAATTTTGAACGTTTAAAAAAAACACTTTATAATTTTTTAAAAATTATTAAAATAGATATTAATATTAATTTAATTTACATCAAATTTTATATTCAATTAAAACTAAATGAAAATAATATTTTTATATTTAATTTAAATATTTTTTTATGAAAAATGGAACAGAATCACCTACATCCCTTATTTAAATCAGAACCTTGTTATATATTAACATCACTCCCCCCCTCCCTAATCCCATTTATTATCTTCCATTACGTTATTCTTACACACTAAAACTTGTAAAATCAATGAGTCTGAAACTTAAGGTCGGTTAAATGACAGTTCCACTTGTAGCAAGCAACTGTCATTAAACAAGAAAAAAAAATAAAAAATATTGGAAGCCCCAATGTACACGTGGAGACGAAATAAATGCAATCCCCTCTTCTGTTCCAATTTCTAAATCTGGAGGCTTCTCTCCAAAACAAGCAGCGCCAACCTTAACCAACACTCTCACTCTCTCCACCGCCCATTGCAAACTAAACTAAACAACACAACACACAAAAACAAAACAAAACCACCTACGAATAAACAATTTTATAGCCATATTAATGTCTCTCGCTTCTTCTCATGTTTTCCACTCTCTTAACTCACACACTTGCATAGAACACAACATTAGATATTACAATGGAACCTATTACATTCTCTCAACATGAAGAAGATTCTGGTCTTTCAGATTGCGAGAGCGCTGTTTCAGCCACTGGAATAGTGCCACAACAAGAAGGTTTCTTCGTTAGACTTGGAGAAGGTGATGCACTTCACGATCTTATCAAGAGACGCTTTATTTGTGGGCTGGGCCTGCTTGGGCACAAAACGGAAGTTGTTTCCGTTCACCGAAACACGTGTTCTGGTGTCGTTTCCCAGGCACGGCTTCAGTCGTTTCAGGTTCATGCTAGGGCGGTGGCAAAACTGCGTGAAGGAAATGCCAACGTGAAGTATGCTTGGTATGGAACTCGCGGCGAGGAGGATGTAAACGACATCGTTTCGCACGGGTTTGCTTATACACACGGTCCTAAGCTTGTTCTTTCTCCCGATGACGCTCCTCTCCAAAGGTTCGCATAGATCCGTGTTTTGTGTTTTGAGTTTTCCATGCGTTCAAGTTTACTAGATTCATGTTAAAGTTAAAGTGTTTGGTAATATAATTTCAAGTTAATTTTTATTTGTTCAGGTTTAGGTTGAAGTTGAGGAATTGGAACTAGTTAAGTAGATTCTGATTACATAAGGAGTTGAAATAATTTTGGATAATTAACAGTTGAGTAAAAAATGTATATTTGATTTTATTACTAATTTAAAAGCATCTAAATTTTGATCACATCCTAATTAGTTTTATAAAATTAATATGTGTGAAAATCAATATTGTTGACACAATTTATTATGTTGATTCTGACTTCAATAAAAAAAAAATGTGGTTTTTGTTTTCGGCAGTGTTAGAGAGTGTGTGGCTGGGAAAGACGGTGTGAGGCATATGCTACTGTGCCGCGTTATTCTAGGGAGACCGGAGCTTGTTGACGGTGGCACAGAACAATGGTACCCCAGTTCAGTTAAGTATGACTCTGGTGTGGATAGTTTTTCGGCTCCTACCAAGTACATAATTTGGAGTAACCGCATGAACACTCATGTCTTGCCTGCATACGTTATTAGCTTCAGGGTTCCTTCTTGCAAAGGTGAGTTTCCATTTCGAATCCAAAAGATTGGTGTTTGTGTGTTTTTATTTTACCATGGTGTTTGGTAATTTTGTAAATGATGGGTGTGTTTTGGTTTTCAGGGTGTGAGAAGAGTGAAGAAGAACCTTTGAGACCTACTTCCCCTTGGATGCCATTCCCAACTCTGATTTCTGTGCTTTCAAAGGTTTTGGCTCCTCATGATATTGTTCTCATCTCCAAGTTGTACAAAGAAAAAAAAGTACGTGTTTTTTCTTGTTTGCATTTGGGTTTGACTGTGTTGCTTGCTTGTTTTTCTCATTGACCATTGCTTCATCTAACAGGAGAAGAAGATCTCACGACGTGAACTTATAGGAAGAGTGAGACAAATAGCAGGGGATAAGTTGCTATTTGCAGTCATCAAATCTTACAGAGAAAAGGTAGGACTGTTCCTTTTTTTTCAATCATTTTGATTTCTATCAGTATAGATTTTGACACTGTACAACTGTTTTCCAAATTATATTGGTGAAGTCTCTTTTTCTTGACATTGTTTTGAGGAATTTTTCGTTTATGTGCATATTCTGACTCTATTCTAACTATATATCTATGAATTCATGGATAATCTCTTTAAATTTCATCTATCATTGTATTGTGAATATTTTATGCGGATCTAGGATGGATGTGTAATAGTGTACAGCTAGTTGTTCCTTGCATCTGGACTAATTCTGGAAATTCCATAAATGGAATTAATTTATGTGTGCAACAGAGATCTCATTAATATTAATTTAAGTGGTTTAACATTATTGTCAAAGAAAAAGTAGGTAGGAAATATAGTATTATGTTACCTGCACCTCCAATCCTACGGGAAAAGTGGCAACTTAATCTAAGAAATAAAAAAATTAGTGTTGTTGTTAAGAAGTTCTAACCAATTTTAATGAGAATTAGCCTAACAATGAAACAGCAAAGAGGTACATTATATCATCAGCCAAAAATTACATTCTTTACATTAGTAATGTGTTATTTTGTTTTGCTGTGTATTTTCCTTTAACATTGTATTCTGTGTTCAATAACCTGATATGGTAAATTTGTTTGTCTTTCAGAAGAAACAAAGCTTTCAACAAACAAGGTCAAAGAATGGACCAGCAATGTGTATTGAATGATTTTCTCCACATGAGTTCTATTGCTGGGGTTGACACAATATCAAACTTCATGACCAAACTTATATATAGAGAGACAAATTCGAGTCGTAGTTTTCTCTTTCTTTTTGTAATTTATGTGTTTAGGATTTTGTTAAGGTTGATGTATCATAAATAGCCAGAGGAAAAGGAATAATTTTTTTCTTTTTAGTTGCTAGTTGCCAATCCAAATGATGTCATCCATGAGTACCAATGGTTATCATACATTCACCCACTCCAATGCCCTTTACTTGAAATGGTACATACTAGTTTGATTTTTTTTATTTTTTTATTTTATCTTAGAATGTTTAATTTCGTCAGTACCGTCTCGTAAATTAGTTATTCAATTTAATTAATTACTAATTTGTTTATGTGTTAGTTAAACATATTTTTACCATTATTCTTAAAAGTAAAAAGAACTTTTCAATAGAGGAATATGGAGCCAAGGTTATTCTTAAATTTAAATTTAAATTTAAATTTCTAAAGTTTTATTAAATTATATGTTTTTATTAACGAAACTATTGATATAGACTATATTTTTTAATTAATTAACTTTATTTACTGTAAGTTTTGTTATAAATAACCTATTAGAATAATCTTTAATATCATAAATATAATTATGGAGTAAATTACATTAATATTTTTAACTTTTCATTAAAATATATGTTTTTTTATTGTGTGCTGATTACTTTTATCTGGTAAAATATTAATTGGACAATGTAATTTTTTTAATTATTTTACAAATGTAATTTTAAAATTTTTAGGATATCATTATAAGATATTATAAGTTATTTTAACATTTATAACTTAATTAAATAGATGATTAGTCTTCCCATTTCATATAACATTATAGGTTTTTTCCTTCAACTCCTATCCATTATGCTTTTATAAAGCGTAAGTTCTTATATTTTTTATAAAATATTAAAAAAATGATTTCAATTTATACAATTTTGTACCAAAATAAAAGAAGGAATTTTAATTTATAAAATTATAATAAATATCATTTATATATATATATAGTCAATATGACAGTTGGCTTTGACGAGATTTTATCTTGTATCGAGTTTCATCTTTACCGCTCTCCTTTTGTTATCTGTGTGCTCAATGGTCTTTCACACCTTCTCTCATAAAAGCTTTTTATTTTTTTAATTAAATAAATTTTCAGTTCAACATTCCTGTGGATTCCATTTTTTTTTTTCCGACAATGGTTTCCTTTTCATGGGCGTGTCTAACTAAGGTGATTTTTGTGCCCTCTGTTTTTTAGCCCAAAGAACAAAAGGGCCAAAAGATGCAAAATAATAATTATCAATTAGTTAAACTAGTTCATATTGTAAAGAAATTAGCTAATTCATTAACCAATTAATATGTTTTCTATTGGTTAGATTTCAGATTTGTTCAGGGAAAGAGTTAAATGATAATTACTCCATTGTAAATATATTTAAGCATATAATTGTCTTTAGCTAGCAGAATATAGATATATGTTGATTGGATTATGCAATGAATAAATCCAAATGTATTTGTGTGATTAGTTATCCATTGAAGGATTCTGCAAAAGAATGCATAGTATTTGGGTTTTGAGAAATTTTAAAATCTTATTTCTACAAAAGATTAGGCTCGTTTTATGATCAAAGAGTTAGGAAGGTAAACATTAATAATGGGCTACATGCATTACATACCCTACAAAGTATGGTAATATATATATATATATATATATTATTTATAAAGGGTACTCGATTTTAGTCTCTCAATTTCATTATTATTAAATTAAAAATATTTTTAAAAATTATTATAGTTCCTAAAATGTAATTCTGTTAAATTAAAAATATTATTTAAAATATGAGAATTTAAAAAAAATTAGGAAATTAAAATTTGTTTTACTCTAACTTTCATGTACTAAAACCTATTATATATAATTACTGTTCCTCCTGTACACTTTTATTCTATCATAACAGTTATAGTTTTAAATTTCTGAAAACCATGATAATTGGCATAGATAATCCTAATTGTAAAATTTAAATTTAAACATCAACACATTATTATTTTTTTATCCTATAACTATGTACTTTTCTTCACCCAAGTTCATTTAAAATAATAATATTATCTTTAATATAAATAACTTCCAGAAAGTGATTTTCAAAAATAGTTTAATTTGAACTTTTCATAAGTTTCTTACAAACATATAAGAGTTAGCTTTAATATATTCTTGAAAACTGATTTTAAAATATTTTTAACGGAGTTTTTAATATATTTTCAAAAAATACAATTTCAAAATAAGTTGTGAATTATTTTTTTCATAACTCATTTCTGGATTATATTTTCTAAAAAACTTAGTCCATAATGTTTCTAGAATACATTTTTGGGAAATACAACATAGATAATTTTTGGGAAATACAACATAGATATGAGTTATATATTATGTTTTCTACAACTCATCTCTTGATCGTATTCTTTATAAATGTATTTTTGTGAGAACATTTCCATTAGTGGCCATGAGAGCATATCACTGCTACCGGATAAAGAAATAAGAAACGAAAGAGAAGAAGTGGTGAGCACGTGGTAAGAGAACAAAATAATGGTAAGAGAACAAAATAATGTTATCAGTAGTGACCGATCTTATTCTTGAGAGGTAAGGGGCCCTAGTCCCAAAGTTTTGTAACTACTCATGTAATTTATAATTTTAACCCCAAAAATTTAATGATTATTTAATATATTTACTTGTATACTTCCAATTTTATCCTCTCATTACTCCTAACTCTCATATAATTTATGATTTTGTCCCCTCAAACTTAAATATCATTTAATATATTTATTTATACATTTACAATTTTATCCCCTCACCTTTTTATATTTATTTATTATTTATTAATACTATATTATTTTGCCCTCCCAAAATCAATAGTCAAGATCCGATCATTGGTTATCGACCCCCTCAAGTTGGAAATAAATATTCTTCATTCCCAGCTTGAAATAAAGTTGGTTAAAATGTTGAGGAGGCAAATGTTTGGTGAAAATATCAGTTGCTTGAAGAGTAGAGGATATAGGAAGAAGTTTGATCAATCCATGATGAAGCTTTTCACGAATAATGTGACAATCAATCTCGATATATTTTGTACGTTCATAGAAGAAAGGATTGGAGGCAATTTGGATGGTGAATTGACTATCACAATATAAAAGGGTTGGTTGGATGACTTGAAGATCTTGAAGAAGATAGGTCAGCCATTGAATCTCACAAGTAGTTGAGGTAAGGGCACGATACTCAGCTTTGGAAGAATACTTTCCTATTGAATATTACAATTATAATATGATATGAGTAAATAAAATATTTTCCTATTTCTCAAATAATTATCAAAGTATTGAATAAGAATTTTCTAACTAATTAAAGTAATGAAGTCTCATTGATTTTTCATGAGCATAATATATCATTATCATCTAATGTCTTTAGTTACTATACTCCTTTAATAATGACTTATTTTATCTTATAACCGCTTAACTATGTTGGTGAAATTTATTTTGGCTAAACATGCTTGAGTTACCTTATATCTAGGGATGATAATTAAACTTGTACCCGTGGGGACTAATTTATCCATCTCCCGAGTTTGACAGAAAAAAAATTGAATTGAAACGGGACAAATTTGAGTTTTTCCCGCTTTAAAAAGTCGGGAGCACGAGCACATGATAGGTACTGCAATCTGTACTCCAGTCTCGTTCTTGTCTCAACTTTATATTTAAATTTTAAAATATTAATATTTTAAAAATATTTCTTTCTCTTTTTCTATTAAATATTTCACCATTTTTATTTTTCTTCTACCACTTTTTAATTCTTTTGTCTTTTATGCCAATTAGTTTATTACATTATTCTCTTTCTCATACCTTTCACTTTTTCACATTTTCTTAATCTCTCCAATTAATTTGTTTTTTTCAATCTTTTCAACCAATTTGATGAACACAAAATTAATTTTTCTTCTTCTTTATCTTTTTTTAAATATTTTACATAAATCTTAGTAGCAACTAATATTATTTTATTTATAATTTATCTTTATTATATTTTATTATGTCACATTTTTTTTATCTTATTTGTCATATATCAAATTTTATCTTAATAAAATAATTATATTTTAAAGGATTAAAAATAATTGATAATTTAAACTTTTATTATTTTGAACTAATTAAATAAAAACTAACTTATTAAATATTTTTTTATAAATTATATATTTCATATTTTTAAATAAGAACTTGAAAAGGAATTAACTTGTATAATCAAATATTTAAATACAAAATTATATTAATAATAATAATATAAGTATTCAAATGTTTGAATACAGTATAATAATAATAATAATAATATTATTATTATAAGTATTTTATATCTTTATAATGAAAAAATAATTAAATGTTTCTTTTACATACATATTTTAATATAAATATAATAAATTAAAATATATATTTAATTAATAATAATTACAAATTATAAAATTATAAATATTTATGTATAAAAAATACATAAAAATATTAAAATTAATTTATTG